TTCATTTCCAAATACATAGTAAATTTGTTCTTGTGGTAAATCAGATTTTTAAAAATGTTTGCTCATTATTACACTATTCTGCTGAATTAAAAATAATCTGGAAGATAAATAGTATATTTTAGATTAAAACCTAACACATGATAATTGAAAAAAAAAATACCCAATGCTTTTAATTATACTATTAATACCATTGTATTTATACAAGAGTAGCTTCCCCCTTTTATTCCTATTTTTGACCACATGTCACTTAGACCTTCAGTTCATATCTGTTTGCTGGAAATGTCCTAAAGTGGTTGGTGTGTGTTTGTGTATTGGGCAGAGGAGGGGGAGGGGGCGCTACTTGATACCGGGTCCAGAACCATTGAATAACTGGAGACAAACAGTACCTGGGAGGGACACATACACACACAGATACCCGAGCCTTTAAAGGTTTGCATAAACTGTGGTTCTCTTATCTCATGAGGCTCCTGGTTGGTTGAAATGGTGGACGAATCCATAAGTTTCTAGATAAGCCTGTGACGCTAAATGCCTGCATTGCTATCAGTGACCCGCTTGGCTTTTTCAAAGTGAGGCTGATTCAAATATTCTTCAGATATTTAGTTCTGAAAGAAGAAACTAGAAATGTATTTTTTCTCCCTTGAAATAGTACTTATCAGTGTAGCTTCTCTACACACTGCAGCTACTGACCGGTCCGGGCTTGAAATAATCTGTTCAGAATTCCAAGTCCCTCCTTTTTATGGTCTGATTTTGAAATCTCACAAGAATGATGGGATTGGCTAGTTCACTATGCAGCCGTCTGTGGTTACATCCCACAAGCCCTTGAGGTCTGCGGCCAGTGGAGTGGAGAGCAAGTTTGCTGTGTTATGTAGGTGTTTGCTCGGAGCAGTCATACCAAAGAGATTTTAATTTCCTTGACTGTTTGAGAAAGGTGAATATTTTTTTTCAAATAATGAGCCACTGGACTGTGCGTATATTCTCAGGTAGAGGTTTGGAAAAAGTGAATGACATTGTTCCGTAGTAGAGGTCACCTCACTAGGAAAATCAATGGAGCATTTGTCATCTTTGCTGTGTACACAGAAACGCGCCTCTCTGTTTTTGCACCAAAGTTGTGTCACAAATTGTGTGTGCTCTTGACTTTAAGGAACAAACAAAGATGTAAGACCTGGAGGGGAGGGGAGGGCTCTGGTCACTATTGTCCAGGCTTTATTCTTGGACTCTTATTCATCTCAGGACTCCTGGCCGAACATTTTTTCCCCATGTTTTTGGACAAGAAAAGATCATTTTATTATTTATGTTGTGGTTAGTTAATCATGTAGTGGGACTTGTGATATTTTGGGAAGAATTTTCTGGTGTGTGTCTGCTGGATTGATGCTGAGATCATGTCTAGCAGGTCAGTTTTAGGTGATTAAAACAATCCTGAGAACTAACACCAGGAGATAAGTCAAATGAGTGCCTGACTCATTTCTTGACCTGGGATGATGTCATTGTATTAATTATATAATCTTAGGAAAACCCAGTTTAGTTCATGATAGACTGAGTCACTGTGATTCTCAGTCTGTTATGGTTAATGTTAATTATTCTATTTTGTCTTTCAACATGTTAACATATTTTTTAAATGATAAGAACATACTTCAAAACAAAATCTCACCATATCACTTTATAATTATCGTAAAGTTGCAAAATGTGATGATCAGATTTAGTGTTGTCCAGTCCTGGCTAGCAAAGTTAATTTTCAAGTAACTTACCCACTGTCAATTCATTGTGTATAATAAAATAGAAAATGACAGAGAACAACATCGGCTTTTCAGCACGGTCAGGTTGATTTTTAAAAAAATTTTATACCACTAAAAAAGTGTTTTTGGGTATGTTTTTTTGGGTATGTTTTTAAGTGTTTTCTATATTCAATTTGGCCAAAGCAAAAAAATTTCTATGATTTCGCAAATGTTTTTTTTTTTTACTTAAAAAAATTATTTTCATTTGAAGAAACTGGAAAATGAAATTTTTACAGTATTGGTTAGTATAGTTAGTTTATTTGAATATTAATATTATTTTGTCTTTTTAAAACAAAAGTTTCCAAGTTTCCATTCTTCAGTCATCATCTTTTACAAATAAGCTGCTGCCAATTATAGGAATTTAGTGGTTTAAATGATGCAAAAACTCTTTTTTTTTATAGCAGATCCTACATAGTTTAAATGTTGAAAGAAAAAAGAAAATACGTTGGTTAAGACAATTTTTAAAGAAATCATTACTGAAATGCTTTTCCCTCCTAATTTACTGTCAACTTTACTGCACCAATCATATCTCTCAAATTCAAATTTGAATTAAAGATTATAAATTGTCCCATACTTTTCAAACTACTTTGGCTCTTACTGATAAGAAATAAAGTGAAGATATTTTTTCAGCTCAAGAGTGGGGTTATTTATCACCACATTTTGTCAAAATCTGGGGCGTGGTTTATGATAAACCTCAAGAGATTTTGTAACTGTCTTTACCTTTTATATTGTCTGGGCACACCTTTTAAATTGTTTCAGTTCAGTCTCTATCTATTTTAAAGCAGCAGTTTATGTCTTATAGCATGAGGGGTATTTTTCCCACCAGGTATGTGTTCTTGTAAGTGTGTAATGAAGGGACACTGTTCAAATATTCTTGTGCCTTTCTGCTTTGTTTGAACAGCAACCCTATACTTTCACACATGATATAGTGCTTGTAAAAACTGGCCAGGCAGGCTTTCTTCTATCTGCCTCACACTTTTATTCAGCCTCAAGTTTGTGTGAACAATAGCTCTGTTTCTAGCCCATTCTTTCATTAACTACAGTATGTGCCTTCATTCACTATTTTAAGCCTGGCTACCAATAAGTGGTGAGGCTCTTTTTGGGTATCATTAAATAATGTGCTAAGGTTTGGCATTAATATTTTTATTTGTATGTAGAACTATATATACCAAAACATTTTTAATAGTAGAAAAATATAAAGAAAGTTTTTGCATATTAACTTTACTTTCTACTCATTTTTAATGTTTGTATTATCAGTAATCTCTGCTTATCTAGACAAGCAGTTTACTATTGTTATTCAGATTCTATTTTGAGTGTAAGTGTGCTGAAAAAACTAAAGGATAAATTTCTTCTGTTGCTAGGGTCAACATGCAGGACAGACCAATGACCAACAGGCAGCAAGTGCTGAAATACTTGACCTGCAGCACAGGGCCAAGGTAAGACTACTTATACAGTTGTGCTGTTTTTGGAGAGAGAATACTTTAGTCTGACTGCACATGTGTAAGAGAAAACTATAGTCTGGTTGCACATGTGTAAGAGAATACTATAGTCTGTCTGCACATGTGTAAGAGAATAGTCTGACTGCACATGTGTAAGAGAATTCTTGTGTCTGACTACATGTGTAAGAGAATACTTGAGTCTGACTGCACATGTGTAAGAGAATACTTGAGTCTGACTGCACATGTGTAAGAGAATACTTGAGTCCGACTGCACATGTGTAAGAGAATACTTGAGTCCGACTGCACGTGTAAGAGAAAACTGTATTCTACCTGTACTTCTCACCAGGCTTGCTAAAAGTTAATTAAAAATGACAAAAGCAATTAACAGAGGTGTTAGACTGTGTGAGATTGTGCTTGTATTTTTTCACTCATGCCTCTCACACCCTACCCCACCCACCACCTGACAGAACTATGAAGCTGAGCTGGCCAAGAAAACAGAAGAGCTCCAACAGCAGGCCACTTCTCTACATGAGCATCATAGACAGAAGGTGTCCACCCTCAAGCTCAAACACCAGGCTGAGTTGGATGCTGTCAGGCAGCAGTTGTCTGCCCTTGAGCAACAGCTGGTAGATGGTAGGTGGCTACAGAACATATTGATTAACTCCTCGATGGTTAGCCCTATATTTATAATGCATTGAATAGGACCATTCGGTTGTAGCTAATATTTTTAAAGGGTATCAGAATTTTTAAACTTAACATAAGACTGTGAGTGTCGGATGCACTAGTTATTTTATATGTGATATTTGCTACAGCTGGGGATGGAGTATCTGGCTCACAGCGTAGTGGGTCTGGAACCCTGCCAGAGTCTGACAGGCTGGATCATGTTGAGAAGCAGGTGGAGCTCCAGAGACAGCTGGCAGAGAGTGTACAAGAGAAGGAGAAGGTCAGTAGAATCATTTCAGTCTTACAGCTCTACACAGACAAGACACTTTTAAAGTGTACCCTCAAGTCAAATGATGAATGCTTACGTGTCATGTCTTGCTCAGATACCATTCCTTCTTTCTTTTTTAAAGTGGTCCCTCCCCCGCTCCTTCCCCTTTCTTTAGATAGAGAAGTAAATGACTGTGATCATTGAATCTTATCAAAAGTAGGTCATTCATGCTTGGCGTCTACAGCAACCAACTTAAAGATAGTGTTTTGACATGTAGGCCAACTAGTTTTAGATTCTTGTATTCACAATTTGTATTTGATTCAAATGGCAGTTGTATAATTGATAAGAGCAGAGTTTGGAAGTTTGTGAGATATCTCTTTGGTTATTTGCCTTCCTTTCATACTAAGTTGACAGTGTGCCCAGTTTTAGCAACCTGCTTAGAATCCTGTCACCATAAATCTTCTATATCTTATGTTTGTTGAAGCACCATTCTTCCTGATTTTTTTCTCTAGCTTTTTATCCACCAAAGATAAGATAAAAATCTTTACTTTATACTTGCAAATTATTTATAGCTGAAGCTAAAGTATCTGAACATATTTTTTGAAATCTTAAGTCAGAGCCTAATTATTTAGACCTTACTCAGTTGACCTAGTTAGGTCATCTTGATTGGCTTTTGTCTTGGCCCCTATTTTAAGTCTGACCTGGTTTATTTAAAAATGTAATCTAGTATTTAATTAATCTGGCTAGTTGAAGATGTTATCTTAAAGCAATTGAATTTAACTTACTTGAGAATCATGAAATACTTTTAACTAATATTATGGTCCTACAGTCAGAATAAATTTAAAAACATTTCAATCATTGTAAAACTTGTATATTGTGTTATTCTAATTTTAAATACTTGTAAAGCCCGACATAGTTTTGGCTCTTTTTAAAGCTGGGTTGTTTTTTTTTTTTCAAACTGTTAAAACATAACAAACATTGTATTCTACCTGATTCTGTATTAATTATTTTTTCAAACTTTTTATCTATTTAACATTTCTCCCATTTTACTATTTTTTTGTCTTAGTACTACAAAGCTCAACTCCATTTACAAGGGGAACTTGCTGAGCTACAACAAGAGGTAGAAACCTTACAAAACCAAGTGACTCAACTCTCTGGTCATTTGAAAGGTATCACTACATCTGTCATTGACATCAGATAACATTTTTATTAAATAGTCTGTTTTTTATCAAGTTAAAACTAAAAAACTAGAACTTTTACCTTACAAAACCAAGTGGCTCAACTCTCTGGTCATTTGAAAGGTATCACTACATCTGTCATTGACATCAGATAACATTTTTATTAAATAGTCTGTTTTTTATCAAGTTAAAACTAAAAAACTAGAACTTTTACCTTACAAAACCAAGTGGCTCAACTCTCTGGTCATTTGAAAGGTATCACTACATCTGTCATTGACATCAGATAACATTTTTATTAAATAGTCTGTTTTTTATCAAGTTAAAACTAAAAAACTAGAACTTTTACCTTACAAAACCAAGTGGCTCAACTCTCTGGTCATTTGAAAGGTATCACTACATCTGTCATTGACATCAGATAACATTTTTATTAAATAGTCTGGGTTTTTTTATCAAGTTAAAACTAAAAAACTAGAACTACTGAAATTCAAAATATAATTTAACTGACTAGTAATGAATCTTAAGATTTAAAAAAAACACATTAAATAACTTTTTTCTCCAATAGAATCAGAGTCCCAGCGTGCAATAGTTGACCAGCAGCTAGTAGCAGTACAGAATGAACTGGTGAGAAACAAGTACCGGCTGTTGGATCAGATGGATGCATACCATGTAGTGTACATATGGACTTGGCATCTAATGGCATGGCAGTTGTTTCATGAAAAGCATGATTTCAAGTTGTTTAATTACAACTTTTTAGTACCTGTGTAATTTTTCAATCCCTAAACATAAATGTAGTCAAAATGAAGAAAACTGAAACAATAAGAAATAGTAAATTTTGGTCAATTTATGAGATGCATGGTTTTGTCAGCTTATTTAAAGCATGAATACAGTAAAAAAAATTATTTAAAAAAATGCAGGAATAGCTTACTAAAGTGCTTTTTGAAGAAGAAAAATTGAAACACAATTTGAGCATGCTTTTTAACAAACAAAAAAGGAATACTTTTTTAAAGTCAATTGTGCCAACTGTATTTTAACTGCATGGATGCAATCATCTGTCTGATAAAACCCGTATGTTATATTATAGGATAACCTGTTGTCTTATATATATATATATATATGTATATATATAAAATAGTCATTGACCTTGAAATAGCAATATTGATGAGTTAGAGGGGTTGTTGGGACACAGCTATAAGGGGGAGCTGTTGTAGCTTTAAAATGAGAATGTTTGCATGGCTTGCTGTCCCGCATGAGCCAACAGAAGCTGCCTGTTAGGATCACCTGAGCATGGCATATTCCAGGCCCAAACCCAGGATGTGCTCAGTGAACTCAGGGAGTTGAAGGAGGAGGTCAACACAGAGACAGCTTATAGAAGGGAAGACATGAGGGCACAGAGAAGAACACTGGTCAACCAGCTCTTCAGAGTTGGGCAGCAGGTGTGGAAAATGTGGGCTGAGAATTGGGTCTTTGTTTGACTGGGGTCCAGGAGATGATAGTATTTTATACAAATGCTAATTATTTAGAACTTAGACTTCTTGCTGTTGACTTATGGTTGTTTGTATAAGCTCTTAAAGCTAATTTATCTTTGAGCATTTGTAATTTGTGTTGAGCAGAAGAACCAGCTGACACAGTCTCTCAAGTCAGCAAAAGATGAGCAGGAAAAAGCTCTAGCTGAAGCTGAGGCTGCTATAGAGAATATTGGTGGGGCTCAGGCCAAAGTAGCCTCAGGTAAAATAGCTATTTATTCATCTAGCTCACTATTGTTAGTAATGTGTTGTGAATTTATATATTTCCAGAAGTGTTTGCTTCAGTGTCATTTCATATGAAATTTTTCAATTTTTTTCAATAGAATGTCTGGAGGTTCTAGAAAAAGAAAACCTTTTGTTAAGATCAGAAAAACTGAAGTGTGAGGAGCAGATAACTCTGTTGGAAAAGGCTGCAAACACATTATCATCAGAAAGACAAACATTGCAGCTGAAAGTTAGAGATTTGCAGTCCAAGTTAAAGGCGTATACAGGTATGTTGTCAGATGGTCTTATTAATTAATTACATTATGTTTGGACATTATTTCTCATATGCTAGAGAAAAAAAGTGTATAAAATGTACTAACAAATTTAAACAGTTGCGAGTTATGAATTAGCAGTAAAAAACTAATTTTTCAGAAGTTGGTGAAGACTCTGATGATACACTAGACACAGACCTCAGCTCTGTTGGAAGGTAGGTCAAGCTGAGTTCTTGTAAATTTCCAACTCAAAAAATGTAGTTGGTTATAGGCAATGCTTTTTTTATTTAAACATTTTCCTAGCAATGCTTTCATTTTCCTAGCAATGGTTTCCAAACCAAATTTTATGTTATGTATTCATGGAATTGCTTTATTTTTTTAATTTTCAATTACGTTTTTTTATTTTCTTCATTTGTATACTTTATGATCTAATTATTGCTATCAATTCATTTTTAAAATGTATAATAAATTAGCTATTGTTCTCCCCCCAGCTCCTCAGGGTACAGAAATGCTGCTTTACACATTGACAATGATGACATTGAGAGGGAGCTGGAACGTCTCAAGACACAGCTGCGCCAACAGTCAAATGACCTGAGTAATGTTGAAATGGAGAGAACTGATTGGCTGATGGAGCGTGAAGCCCTGGAGGATGTCATCACTGAGCTGAGACAGAAGGCAGCAAGTCTTGATGAGCAGCTACACTCTGTCAAGGTACTCATCATAGACATTCACCTGGCCTCCCTAGTCTGTCAAGATACTACATGCTAGTTTGACCTGTCCTTTTATTTGTTGTAAAATGTTTCAGGGACACATTTTTAAAAAAAACGTTCATGTTTTTATCTCTGAAACTAGCTTTTTAGTCTGTCGCACTGTTTAGGAATTAAAATTTTAAAAAACTTTTTTGTCACTAATGTTTAAATCTGAAAAATCATTTATTATTTACATCCTTTTCCCTCTGTCACTATTCTTGGTTTATTCTGCCTTAGGTATCTCTTTGGTCCCCTTTTCTCCCCTGTTTTTCTACTTACCATGTTACAAACTTAGCCAATTATTATATAGGATTATAATCAATTTTTAAATAAATGTAAAAAATTTTTTTTTTTTACAGTCAAGTAAAGCATCAAGTCATGAAAGTGAAACATCCCTTGGTAAGTTAATTTTTCCTGATGTTATTGATGGGGGATACTAGATCTATATATTTTGTCTTATTTAGAAAAAAATTAGATTTAAACATTTTTGTTCGTGTGATGTATTCTGGTTTTGGAATTAATTTTTTTTGGTTAGGAAAGGAAGCAGCTGCCCAGATCATGTCACTCAAGGAAGAAATCTCTAGCCTACAAACAGATAAAAGTGAACTGGAGAACGCTTTAGAAGAGCTTGACTCTCAACATAGCCAGGCTTTAGAACAGCTGATCAAAAACAGGGACCAACTGGCAAGTCAGTTGGCTGAAAAAAGTAAACAAATACAGGAGCAGCAAAAAACAATAGAAGAGCTCTCAGTGACAATAACTCAGCTGAAGGAGTCTCAAGCTGCTGAAGATAGGGTTGATGGTTCTCAAGATGGTCAGTATTGGGAAGAGAAGTGTAAGCAGCTTGAGCTTGAGATAGCGCAGTCAAAAGACAAGAAATCCAGCTCATCTGATGTAAACCTGGAGAAGGAGGTGGCTGATCTGAGACAGAAGCTTCACAAAGGTGGGCTTGTCATCAATGACTTGCACATGGACAAGCAAGAACTGCAGGAGGAGCTGAAGGCTGCCCGTGATGAAGTGGCTGCTAAAGTGGGTAAAATTAAAGAGATGAGAGAAGCCAATAGCAGGCTGGCTCATGAGAAGAAGGATCTAGAGGTCCAGTTGGAGGACATGAAAGAACAGCTCTCAGAGCTGGAGGAGGAGGTGGAGAAGTGGCAGCAGGTGAATGAAGACAGACAGCTCCAGCAGGGAGAGCAGGAGAGCTGTCAGGTGCTGAAATCTAAGCTGGCAGCCGCGGAGAAGGAAAAAGAACTTTTTAGCTTGAACTTCAACCAGCTGCTGACCCAGGAACCCAAGGCTCCCCAAGCTGGCGGGGAGTTCAAGTTTGAGGATGAGGCTTTCAAGACTATTCTAGAGGAGGAAGCAAAAGTACGCAGGCAAATAGAAGCTGATGGTCGCTTGATACAAGATTTAAAAAAGCAAGTGCAGAAATTGTACGAGGACAAGCAACAGCTAAAAAAAGAGTTACTCCAGCAGGAGACATTACATTCCAAGACAACAGGAAAATTGGTGGGGCTAGAGAAGGAGAAGAAAGAGTTAAAGTTAAGGTTAGATAGTTTAGCTAAAGAGAAATCTGATCTAGAAGAAACATTGAGTAAAGAGGTAGAAAATGGTAAAGCCTTAGCAGTCAAACTTGCCTCAGCCCAGTCCAAACTTGATGAAACAGCCAAGCAGAATGAGGAGCTGGCCAATGAGTTTTTAGCTCTACAGAATGATAGAGATAGGCTGGTGACAGAGTTAGAGAGTCAGAAGAAACATTACGACTCTTATATTGAAGAGCTGAAGGCAAGTCAGGACCTTGGGGCAGAGTCTCTTCAGCTGGAACACCAAAAGATATTGGATCTTCAGAGGGAGAAAAATCTAGAGATTGATAGGCTGGATGGGATGTTGAAGGTCAAGGCTGGGGTTGAGAGCACCCTGGAAGAAAAGAACCAGGAAGTTGAAACGTTAAAACACGAGGTCCAGAACTTCAAGGAGCAAGTTTCTGAAGTAAAAAGTGAGATCTCAAGGCTGGAAAAGCTGTGTGCTGACAAGGACAGAGAGATAGAGGAGCTCAAGTCCAGGATGTCACAGTTTGACAGAGACCTGTATGAGATAGAGGAATCTGTTTCTGTAGCTGAAGACCAGCACAAGGCAAGCCTCAGTGCCAAGGATGAAGAGCTACTAGAGCTGAGGCAGAGAAATGCAGAACTTAATGACACTTTAAAACAACTCAATGAGGTGTTATCACAGTCTGGGGAGAAAGTAGATGATGTAAATGAGCTAAGGAAAGAATTAGCTCAACTAAAAAGTGAGATGCTGGCAGAAGAGGATTCAAGGCATTCCCTGACTCAGCTGGAGAATGAGCTGGCTGGTTGTAACGATGTGATCAGAAAGTTGAATGAAGACCTGACTGCAGCCAAGCTGACCATTGAGTGTCACGAGGCTGGAATAGCTGACCTGAACCAGAAGGCTGATGAGCAGAGGAGATGTCTGGAGAACTCTGAGAGAGATGTGGCCAGACAGAAGAGCACCATCGCTGTGCTCAGACAGTCCTCTGTTGACAAAGAGACCCTCATCAGTGAGGTCAAGGCCAAGCTGAGCTACCTGACAACAATCCTGACACCACAGCAGATGGAGATGTTGAAGAACTATGCACTCAACCAGCCCATGCCTGCGCTAGAGTACAAGGAAGTGATGGCCATTGAGTTCTCAAGGCAGAGTGAGACGGGCGAGGCAGGTGCTGCCACATCTGACTCTCAGACAACAGTGAGTGACAGGTCAGACTATGCAACAAATGGGTACATTGTGGAGGAAGATGTTGACAGTACTGCCTCGGAGCATGAGAGGTGCTCGCTGCTAGAGAAAGAGATGAATGACCTGCGTGGGCGCCTTAAGGAAAAAGATGCAATTGTTGTGGAACTTCAGAAAAGCAATTCAACTCTGCTTTCACTGTTAGAGAAAGGTGGCGGGGACAAGTCTCTGAGTGCTCAAGTTACAAATCACAAGCTGGAAGCAGAGCTGAGCAGCTTAAGGGCTGAGAAAGAACAGATGGTGGCAGTGGTCACTGAGAAATCCAGGGAAAACTCCACATTAAAAAGTGAAGTGCATCGTCTGATGGGGGCACTGGCTGCTGGACAGGCTGCTCTCAACAAACTGCAGGAGGACAACAGAGCACTTCAGCAGAGACAGAACTCACCCCCTCGAGAAAGTGAAGATGAGGATGACATGAGGCGGGAAGCTTTGGCCAACATGGCCAGGCTTATCCGCGATAGAGAAACAGAGATAGAAGCATTGAAGCAGAAGAATGATACACTTTTGGCCGTCCTGCAGTCTTCTGGTGAATCCCAGGCTGCCATTCATCTGGCGCCATTGCTGAAAGATAAGGAAATCCTCTCCCAACAGATAGCAAACATGAGTTCAGAAAGAGAGCAGCTTATTGCCTGCGTCACACAGAAGCACTCAGAGTGCCTGGCCTACCATGCTGAATCCCAGCGCTTCTCTGCTCTTCTTGTTGAGTCACAAGCAGCTTGTGAGCAAGCCAGGAATGAACATGCAGCTCTGATCCCAAAGTTTGAAGACAAATGTCAGGCACTGGTGGCCACCCAGAATGAGCTGATCAAATGCAAACAGAAAATAACAGACCTTGAAGTTCGTTACGGTGAACTCATCCATCGCTCAAACAGTCAAGATCATTCCAATACAAATGAAGCTTCTCCTTTGGAGGAAGAACTTCAGCGGCTGAGACAGGCAGAGACAGAGTTGAGAGTTTCAGTGTCCCAACGGGATGAAAAGATTCACACGCTGACCTTGCGAGTGAGTGCGCTAGAAGAGGAGATATTGGGTAAAGAGACAGAGTGTGCTCACCTGAGGAAGCAGGTGGAGAACAGCAAGTTCCAGCTGACTGGTCTGATGACAGAGATGGCTGACATTAAACAGGAGAGAGAACAGATACAGAAAAAAAACAGCTTACAGGTATGTAACTTTACGTCTAAAAATTTTATGCAAAGTTAAGCATTGATTAATGTTCTAATATTGAAAATATTTGTATAATCAAAATAAGTTTTTAAATATTTAAATACTATTTATTGTAATTTGACAATTTTATTAATAAAAGCATAAAAATAACTCACATTTTTCTGCAGGATTCAGAGTCTGCTAGCATCAGAGAAGCTTATAACAAAATATCCCTAGAAGCAAGAGAGAAAGACAACAGCATATCTGTACTGAAGGAGCAAGTGTCAACCTTGACCTCACTGCTGCAGGAGCAGCAAGGTGAACAAGGTCACATCACCAAGCTGATGAGGGACAACGAGGCAGCTGTGGCCATCACACAACAGCTGCAGCAGGAGAGAGACTACAACGCCATGGTTGCCCAGCAGAGACTCCATGAAGCCACTCTGCTACGCAATGAGGTAGAGAGTTTAAAATAGTTTTTACTTTCACTACAGTCATAAATCTAGCCAGTGTCATGCTTTCGACCCATAATTGTGGCATTGTTTACATAAAGTTATAGATTTATAGTAATAATTTAAATTTTAACTTGTTTATGTATTTCACATACATAGTACATTTTTCCATTACAGATTACACAATTGAAGGAGAAAGAATTGAAAACATCCAAAGAAATAGAACGGTTGCGGAGACACTTGATAGAGGTTAGTTTATTGTTTGTTTGTTTCGAATCACTACAATAAAATAAAACTGCTTAATTTTCTTGAAGCAACAAAGCTAGCATGTTGTGGTTTATGTTCCCACAGATGGAAGATGGCTACACTAAAGAAGCTTTAGAATCAGAAGAAAGGGAGAAAGATCTACGTAACAAACTAGCTCTTGCTGAGGAAAGGCTTATGTCTTCTTCTTCAAGGGAGGAAATGGCTAGGTGGGTACAGTAACACATTCAGTTGTTGCAGAGAGATGTGTAGCTAGCTTTTGGTGTTGACACCTCACAGGATCAGATTTGGGCAAAATCCTGTTTGTTACTGTGTAATAGAATAAGAGCTATTTAATAATGTTGATTGCTAGCCTCATATAACAACTGTCTGTTTCAGCCAAGAGGCAAGTCGCCAGATAGAAAGTCTACAACAACAGCTGCAGCACATTGCCAGCCAGAGGGATGCAGCCTACATGCAGGTGGCCAACATACAAGAACAGTGCCAGCAGTATGCCACATCTCTCAGCAATCTGCAGCTTGTTTTGGAACACTTCCAGAAAGGTAGAAAACTCATGAGATTTTTATGTTGGTGGACAAAGCAAAAAGTAGTGCAGTCCTTGTCATGGAAGCATCCTTTCATGTTTTTTACTTTATGCTTAAAAGATTTTTAACATAACATTAGTTATTAAGTATATTACAGCTTTGTTATCCGTTTTAACATAACATTAGTTATTAAGTATATTACAGCTTTGTTATCCGTATCATTAATTTTGTCTTTAGAAAAAGATTCAGCAATAGCACTTGAGACAGAATATCTTCAGAATGAATGTAGAATTTTAAAAATTGAGCTTGAGGAACAAAACAAAGAGCTGGCTGCAACTAAGGTAAAATCATTGTTATTTCCCTTTTGTATTTTGTTTTATAATCCTCCGGTTTTCCAAATTGCTTATGTCTCCCACCAGTACTAATAGTGTTGTGTGTATGACAGGATGATTTATCAGAGGCCTTAGATGGTTTAGAGGCAGCAAACAGGCTGAGTGAGCTGTTGGACAGGAAGGAGGAGGCTCTAGCTGCACTCAAAGAAGAAGGTTGGTACTTGACCAGACTTGATTGTAGGCTAGTCTTAAGGCTAGTTAGGTTTACACCAGCACATGGGCTAGTTCACATTTCCGTGTATTTGGTAATTACAATATTTACCACTTCTGCTGTCAGAGAATATTTCAGCATAAGTGCTAATTGTTTCAGCATATTTGCTAATATGTTTCAGCATAGGTGCTAGATAAAAATATGTTAGCCTCTTAAACGAATTGTGTAAGCTTATGCTGAGATATTCTTCATGCTTAGAAACTACATCTACCAGTCACAAAAACCTCGTTTATTCTTTCTTTCCATCATATCTATTTTCCATCCATCTCACTTCCATTTAAAACAAATTATTGCAATATGTTTGGACTGGTAGCGAATATCTAACTATAATCAACTTTCACATCTCTGCTAGAAAAGTATTTCTTCTCTTTGTATAGCTCTGCTTGTTTCTTTCTCATGGTTGTCTCATGTTAGGATATGAACCTCTCTTTTACATGTAGTTTTTAAAGATAGTAATAATTATGTAATTTAAAAAAAGAAGCAATTTTAGCTTCAGCTTCAATATATTTTTAAATGTCATAAAATGCTTGCATTTGTTTTTTTAGTTTCTAAAATGACTCGGTAAAAATAAATTAACAAACTGAAAAGAATTTTGCTCATTTTAATTTTGTTAACACTGAACAAAAGACTTTTATTCAATTTTATTTTACTTGCTGTATTTCTTGAGCAGTAAGAAAGGTGGATGATTTTTAAAATTATTTTTTTTTTCAATTTTAATTGCAAAAAGAAATACAGATAATATTTATGACAGTTTCCTAATTTTAATTGGCTGTATAAAAATACATTTTTTTTTTACACAAGTTCACCTTACTGATAGCACTGAGTCAGACAATATTTAGTTTTTAGATTAACAGGCAGTTATGCTTAAATAACTTCATGTACTTGGCTTATTTTGGTTGTTTATGTTCTACAATAAATGTTTTGTGTTTACTATTTACGTAGTGTTTTGTAGTTTTGCATGTTGCTTGAGCCTTTAAATGCTGTATTGAGTGGCTTATATTTTTTTTTGCTTGCTATATTTTATTGGACATTTGATCTTGCTTGTTGCTTATTTCATTTTTAGACTGCCCCCATATATTCACTAGTGTCTTAGGCTGCTTTTATTTACTAATGTTTAGAGGAAAGGGTATACATGTATCCAATTAGTAGATTGCTTTTAACTTGCTTTGTTTTTTTTTAAAAAAGAAGCTTCTAGATTGTAGGATTATCACGGAAAAAATTTTCAGATAAGAGGAACCAAAAAAAAAAAGAATCAATTATACTGATGTAGTGGTGTGTGGGAGGGGGAAGTTGAAAAGTTTTTTGGTGCTCCTCAACTGAAGTACTTTAGTTTGGGGTTGTTTTATTTTTATTTTGTTCCTTTTTTTTTTCAATAAATGGAGTTTAAAACTCTGGCTTTATATATGATTTAGCTGTTCAGAATTTAAAATAATAAAGACTTAGCATCTAAAAAAAACATGCATCTAAAAAATGAGTAGTTCCATAATACCCACTAAAATAAAATAAAAAGTAATGAAGTAATAGCTTGATATAGCAAAAACTTTATCTGGCAATTTCTAAAAGTAATGAATCGACTATTAGTGACAGAAAATCTTTAAGTTATATTGCTGGTAAATCAATCTGGCCATTCTAAAAGTAATGATGTAATTGAGTAAATTAATGGGTCCATGTGTATGAGTAATTGAGTAGATGAGTGTGTTCATGTCTGTGTAATATCAGCTGGTAATCCTGAGTTGAAGAGATCTCAGGAGACTGGTTGATATTCCTCAGCTGTGGCACTATGGCAGCCTAACAACATGGCATTTACAGGCTCATTGTTTGTATGTTGATGTCTGTTCGCTAGCTAAATCAATGTCTGCTTATGCTGGATGATTTTCTATTGGTTTGGTGTTCATGGTTATTTTTACATGAACTCTTCTTTGATAGAAAATAAAATGTGCAGCATTGGTTCCAGAATGTTTGTGTATGTAACCTTTTAACTTTTGTTACCAGCTTCTCCCTCAGCTTGTAAAGACATATCCTAACCCATTTCCTTTTCCTCCACTCACTTTTCAAACATTTTTCAAAATAGTTGAGTCAACTTTCTGTTGACTAATCTGCTAGATCTAAATCTTATAGTTTAATTGAGTATTTCTTTATTTTATGTAAGAAGAAATTAATATTTTAGTCCATTTTCTAGTAAATATTGCACAACATAATTTATTAATTTTTCAACTAATTATTAGAAGTTTTTAAATGTATAGTTATTTGAGCCTATCTTAATTCCACTTTGATTTTATTTTCACTAATATGTATTTATCTGAGACTATATAGCATCTATTGTTGTAGAGAAGTTGATGCTAATATTTAGTTTTGGTTGTACTGCTGTTGTAATGTTTGGAAAAGCTCCCCCTCCCTCACCTTATGCTGGTTGTGGCTTGCATTTTTTTTGGTGTTGGCGTTTGCTTAATCTCAGCTGGTAATTCTGAGTGTGTCAAATGTCAAGTTACCAGCCGAGGTTACACAAATACCCCTCACTCACTGCATGTGTCCTCACTTTAGTTGGTCATCTGTGTACCTAGAATAGGACATTTTTTTAAACGTACATTTTTTTAATACTTGGATGTTAAGAACTATGTCTTTCAACTATCTTACTTTCTTTACTACCCACCTAGCTCTCTATATTTGTTCCTGATTTTGTGGTCATTGTGTTCTCTGTTAAGTCATCTAAAGCTTTCTGTGTAAAACATTTGTCAATTTCTTTGTATAGTAACGAGCCTGATCTAAGTAATCACCTAGGTCTATTCAATCACTGTTCATCACTATCATCTATCCAAACATGTTGCAATAATGTCAATCTCTCTACAGAATGCCTCTATTTTAATCACTTCTTTAGGGAACAAAATGCACCCAGTACTAAAATACAGTTTCAAATACTATCTTCTGCAATATTATCTAAAATTGTATCATGACAAACAATGAAATCTAAAAAAGATTGTGATTGTAAGCACCATTTGTATGAACACAGTTGCATGATGTTTTATGTCAGCTGTTGTGTTCCATGGCTATGAGATTTTGAGGGAAAGCTTGTGTAGTAGTATGTTGTCCTCAAGTAAAAACTAGTCTGTTGAGTGTACCACCTAATGAGAGCATTTGGATGAGATTTGAGAGAAAACACAACCCAGCCTGCATCTGACTTTAGAAACTTACTTGTTAACACCATTTGTTGATATTTTGATTGCATAGTGTCATTCGTGTTTATGGTTAAACATTTTAATCACCTATTTCATATTTAATATCTGGTTATCATTTTTAAAAGTATTTCTTCTATCTGAATGCTACCTCTGGTACTTGTGTTGTTTTTAAAGTAAGTTCAGTCATAGCCTTATGAATGAAATCCTTTAGGCCTATTTAGTCTTCATTTGTCAGGAGGTTTTTTTTGTGATAGGCTATCCTTATATGTATTTTGTTCAGCTCGACACTTAAATATTTTACAAATGCATCTTTTTGATAATTTGTTACAAGATATATAATTAAACCCCATATGAAATTACTCCCCGTATGAAATTACTCCCCATATGAAATTACTCCCCATATGAAATTACTCCCCATATGAAATTACTCCCCAATATGAAATTACTCCCCATATTTTCGAAGGTTTTGATCATGTTTCCTCACCTCCAAGCCTTACTTTCTGTACAAATATTTGATGGAATAATGTGTTACCTGAAGATATTTTAACAGCATTGATCTACCCTATTGAATATTGATTAGTTGAGTAGATCAATAAATCTTAAGGGCTGCCTTCCATCAAATTCTAATAATGCTGTGTCTCATTCATGTGTAGACAATCACTGGATGGGGGGGTGTTCAAAGCTAGTACAGAATTTTCTTCACTCTAGTTCAAACTGGAGGTTTTTTATAGGCCACTGAACTGGTTGCATTTTATCTTGTATTGGGAATCATTAAAGAAATCAATAATTCCAATTCAATGCCCTGTTGAGTGTATATATGATGTGGTTGCTGGAGAGAGAACTTTCTAGTACTGGCTTGTGTTCACATTTCTCTGGTGTGTGTGTGTGTGTGCTGCTGTCATGTTGCTTCTTGCTGGAACTCTGAGACACAACTTCCACATGCACTTCTGTGTGAGGGTTTTTTTTTTTTTGGGTTGATAGAGAATGATCTCGTCTTCATTAGAACTTCCAATTTCATGTCTTGATAATGTAAAGTGGAACAAAGTAATAGTTTTTTGTGTAGCAGTGCAATATTCTCAACCATTAAAGGACAAATCTAGTCTGTTGTCAAGTTAGTGATTGTGGTCAGTAAAATAGCACATGTTTTGTTGCCATTGATTGCTGTCAGTTGAGTAGCACCACCATGTTTTGTTGTCATTGATTGCTGTCTGTAATGTTTTGTTGTCATTGATTGCTGTCAGTTGAGTAGCACCACCATGTTTTGTTGTCATTGATTGCTGTCTGTAATGTTTTGTTGTTGGCACTGGTCAAGCATGAGCACGCTAGAGCTTAGGATCTGAGTATTACTTCAGGTACTGAGTGACCTGGTTCAGTACCTAATGTGATATTCTCACCCTGTGCTTATTTAACTGCATGTCTACATATTTTCTTCATGCATAGTTTGGTTTGTGCATGTCAGAATGTTTATTCCCATGACTTTACATGCATTATTTTCTAGCATTTGGAGGTACAAAGTAATGGATCATTCTTTAACCTATTGCTGCAGGGTCTCTACCACATTTGTGTCATATTTACACACATCTCTCATTTCTAAAGCATATTGATTATTGGAAGAAGCTTGGCATTTCAAATCATCCCTAGTGGTAAAATAATCAATATTTTGATGGCATTATTTTTTCATTATAAAACCAGCCTGAATGTGAAACTGAATTTTGAGTTTGATTCATCTTGTAGAATTATGAAAGTTGTTTTTGTGTTTATGTATCAATGTATTAAAAAAATAATGTTGTGTTTAAACCATTTAGTCCAGTTAAGAGAGAAAGCTCTAGAAGCTGCTGAAGAAGAAATCAGAAAACTAAGCTCAAGTACAGAAGCAAAAGTTGACAAGTAAGTCTGACATGAAGGGGAGGCCACTTGGTGGTAGCGCTGGAATCTTTAGATTACAATCACAAGATTACCATAATGATAGAATTAAAGTAAAAAGCTCACATCAGATACACCTAATCTTAATTTTTTATGGTGATTTGATTTTTAACTGTTTCTGTTTTGTACAATTTCTAGAACATTAATGCATAACATGGTCATGACCTGGCTGACCTCTCCTGAAAGCAAGCGAATGGAAATAGTTCATCTGATTGGCCACATACTTTGCTTTTCAGATGACGATTTTCAAAAAGTAAGTTGTGACTTTTTAAAATTAAGGATTATTACTGTAGATTGCCTGAAATGTATATTTTAAAAAATTGTTCTCTCTTTTTTTTTAAGATTGAAGTTGCCCAAAATAAAATTAGTTTGCTTTCTGGAATCTTCCGAAAACAAGCTGGTACCCCTACCAGTACACCTGTAAAACCTGCTAATCAGGTATGTTAAGCTACCTTTATTGTGTTACTTGGCTTTAATTGTTTTAACTTAATCAGAGACTAAAACTTTGAAAAGAAATTATATATATTTTGTCACTGGGCCATTCAAATGTACAATTGTGTTTTTTCTTTGTTTAGTCTTTCTCACAGCTGTTTGTGAAGTTCTTGGAGAAAGAATCCTCTCCACCTCCATCCCCTGTTCGTCTTCCAGCCGAGGCCATGGCAGCAGAGACACAACATCGGCACAAGCCTGCATTTAACCCATTCACAGCTCCCCGTCATGTGGTCCAGGATGGCCAAAGATCATCTTCCCCATCTTCTCATCTGCTCATAGCCAATGACATCAGCACTAGCCCCACCCCATTTTTTACCCCACTGACCAGCCTTCACACCTCAGAGTCAGCAATACTAAAAAATGTGTTGGAGAAGAGGTGACAGCACTCCAAAACATAACTTGTACATATCCTAGATAAATTATAGCTAGCACCAGGTTAAAAATTGGGTTGGTTTTTTTTTTCACAGACCAAATAAAACAATTAGTTGTTGAGAATACAAATACTGTTGCATCTTGTGCATTCATTTCTCTTATTGATAGGAGTTTCTAGCAAATGCAAATGATATAACTTACAGAGCAGTGTAAATTTGAAGATACTGTTGAAACTTACATGCCATTAAGTAATTAGTTTTCTTACTTAGGCTAGAATGTACCAGGGATATTTTAATAAGATCACTTGTTTGATTTATAAAATGTTTGCTTGATTATTTTTAACTTTTGTGGGTAAAATGTTTAGTTAAAATAGCGACTCTTTTTTGCTACCAACATTGGTTTCTTTATAGACCTGTTATTTTCTTCTGCCTAGTTTAATTTCTCAATGAAGTAATTTCTTTGATCTTGATGGTGAGTAGGTTTCATCTCTCTGTTCAGACATTTCTAGTTTTAGTTTACCTTTTGTTTCTCTTAATATTTCTTAGAGTTATAGGGTACATTTTTCCTGAACTAATGAGGTGGATTTTTTAATTTTACTGCTATCAAATAATCCAAACATCTCTCTGGAAAAGGTGGGGGAAAAAATAAAATTTGTTTCCCCACATTTGTATTTGATAGTTTCTAATTCGTGGGATATCTGATTGATGCTGTCAATATTTTGCCATTTTTACTTTTTTTTGTATATTAGAATAATTTATTGTGAATTGCAATGTGTAACTAACTCAGCAGTTACACCATCAATGCACTGTTACTAAGTTTGTCATAGTTGTGATTTGCTTGTGATATTGGTGAAATTCAATGATTGTTAGTTCAATAGGTCAAAAATAATTTATACAGCTAGTTGCCTTGCTGAATTGTTTTATTGTACTAGAAATGGTTGTTTATTTATCTTCATTTCATCTGATACAAAAAAAAATTTAGAAACATATCTTGTGAGCACAAGCTTTCAAACAGCCTTGAACTATTGGTTATTTTTTTTTTGTCTTAAGTTGGAACCAAAATATGTGGTTTTAAGTATCTAGAATGAACACTCCCAAGTTTTATTGGTACATTCAGAAAAAAATGTATATTTTCTGATAACTTTATAAATAGGTTTTGTAAAATTGATAGCTGTATAACATAATAAATTGTATACTATGCATTATGTAAAGTACGGAAATTATTTGCCATTTTTTAAGTATAAAATCATTTTTACTTAAATTGTTTGCAGTGCAAAATGGCCAAAGAAGTCACTATGCCACAATTTTGCATTATTAAATTATTGTACAAATACATTTTTGTTTGTCATGTGTGTATTGATTCACCCCGATTTCTTAATATCTCAGCTTGCAACCCAGTAATAGCGAGGGAAAGAAATGATTTTCAACTAAGCACAAAGTCCATGAGCAGGTTATATAAATAAACTTTTACTTGGTTTTTATTACAGTAACAAACAAAAATAATACAGGATTTAAAAAATGAGCGGTTAACATGATTGTATCTACCTTGTGCTGAAAGCTTGAATCATCATAAATTATGTCCAACTCAAAATCAAGCAACTATTGTTTTTTAAAAGTTTAGAATAAAGGGGTTCAAAGTCCACGGGCTCTTCAAGTTGTTGCAAATATGAGTTAAACATTTTCAACACTAAATAAAATTACTAGAACCTGGTCATCAACTTGCCACCTTCAGCTAGAGAATGAAAACCAGCTTGCACAGGTTTGCCAACCACAACTTTCTAGTGAAAAGGAAAGAGAATACAAATAACCAACATAAAATCAGGTAATACCAGTACAGTGGGGATGTAAAACATGAAATATAGTTACATGAAATTAAAAAATGAGATTAATTTACCTACAATGAGTACTTTATAAAGTTTAAGCTATTCTTCAAGACAATACAATTAAGCTATAGACAGTAGAATTTCAAAACAGCTTGTTTTAAAGCTCCCAGGATTGTACCAAAAAAATTCTGGAAATAAATTCTGTAATGTTTGTGTTAAATTTTTAAATAACAAAAACAGCAGAACATGTGAGCCCAGTGTTGAATTTTAATTATTTTTTTTCTTTAGAATAAACCTTATACTCCAACGTTTTTAATACAAGTAAAACATACATGTTTTATTATGTCAAAGTGGGCCATTAATTAGAACACAAGAAAATATTTCAATCAGGTAGGCTACAGAGAGTACATTCATTACTGCATTCACCAAAAGAGGTTTTAAATGTAAATAATGTTGCAGATAAAGATTTTGAAATTTAAGGACTTTTTTGTTTTTAATGGATAAAAATGTATAGAATGAGTGAAAAAAAAGTTACTCAAAGAAAAATTGGGAGGTGCTTATTGTATTTTTAAAAACACTATCCAATTAGAGTAAGCCTTAAATTGTGAACAGAAGAGATGCCCCACGCTATTAAAAGTAAAGCAAGTAAATTTTGAGATTTATTTTATAATTCTTAACTGATGCAAAGAGATTCAATCATTAATTTACATTGTTATTTTGTACAAAATATGTTTCAATATATTAAATTAAATACCATATTTTAAATAAATTAAACCCCTCATTTGAATCTAACACAGAAAATGCAAATTTTCTTTTGATTTCAAGCTAATAAATTTTGTTTAACAAAATTACTTGTTACGGTGAATAAACATCAATCATTAAAATGTAAGAAAAAACATTGATCATTTTGGCTAGAAAGTTTAGTGAATATTTTAAAAACTTAATAAAATGGTAATATGTAAAGTGAGAGTGGAAGGAAAATGCTCAATTACACTGAGAATTTTTGTGTAACAACTATGCTACTCTAGTGGTGAAAATGTTTCTTACCTTAAAACACCAAACATTGTTAAGCCAAAGTTAAGGAAAACAATAATATAAGGCAATTTACTGCAGTTGAATGCTAAATTTTATAATACAAATATGTATTGCTAAAAGTTAAATAAGCTCAAAATAGTTAATATTGAGAGCATCATGATCACTAAAATTTTTATATAAAAAAGTAATAATGTTTTATGAAAACTTATAATAACAATAAATATAATGGGAATAAAACATGAAAAAATAAAACAAGGGCAGACAATTCTGGCAGAACAGTTTGAACAACCATTATTCAAATATTTACTGTTTTGTAATGTTTGACAATAGCTTTTAAATATAAACTTTTCCTGAAAATAACTACTGGTTCAATTAATTCTTCATTTTTATAAACCTTTTAATCAGTCATCACAAAATCACAGATTTGACTAGTATTTAAATGTACAAGAATGGTGAAGCCACATCAAAATTACATCAATGTAATGTATTCAACCCAAGGCATTTTCTTTTTTCATAGCCTATATGTCATTAAAACATCTTAAATTTTATATTCATTATATATTACTTTTTGTACTAAAAAAGAATACACTTTAAACTGATTAAAGGTACAACTTAACAAATACAGAAGAACCAAAACTAATATTCAAGTTCAATAGTTAGAATATATCTGTAAACATCTAAAATCAAGTACTTTCTGATATTAGCTACCAGTAATTATATCACAATGTGTAAAAACAATGTATGTCTACATCAACAGATATTAAGGAGGTACATCAAATGGTTCATGCAAATCTCAACATTGTGAATTGTTTTACAGCATACAAAGACAGTCAAACAGTGATATAAATGCAAACGTATTTTTGTGGGCTGCACCAAAGCATAACCCCACAGTACCAAAGTGAAAGATTAAGCCTTTATGCAGAGCTCAGCTGAAATTGTTCTCAATCTTTTGAAAGACAGTGAAAATTAATGTACAAGGTTGGAAATCATTTATAGATGGCTGCTGTAACATACACTGTCATGAATGAGTTTGTGAAGTTCAAAATTTAGTTTCATTAATCTCATACTAAACTTAATAATAACAGATGGTTGATGCTTTAGTATGTATGAAAATGCTAAAGATGTTTTAAAATGTAGAAAAAATAAATTAGTAACATTAACCCTGCTTGTTGAGCTGATTAAAAAATATTTAAGACATTCCAAAGTGTTTTTTACATCTCTATTCTTCACTACAGACTTAACTTGAAGTAAAACTATTCAAATTATTCTTTTAGTATAAATACAGGAACAATTATTGTTAATCCAAGATGTATAAGAATTGCAAAGTGATTGAAATGTGATGGCCATGAACTAAAGATTGCTTAAATGGAGCTGTCATAAAAGATAAAACATTTTGAAGAAAGACTTGATACTTGAGAGTTTCAACACAAGATTTTCTTGAAGCTGTGTTTTATTGATGTTACTGAAGTTAAAACACCTTTCTAAACATTTAAATAGTTGATTAATCTTTGTTTTCATTGTAAAAAAATTACTATAAAAAATGTTTTTAAATAAACTATGTTTTGTAGTCTTTCAAATACCATATTAGTTTCAGTCTAAAAAGCAATATATAAATCTTCAGATACCACAGATAAATAGAATTATAACACAACATAAAATAAACCATTAAGGGGACTTAATTCAAGTGAACTGGTATTGACATATCAAAATCTCAAAAGACATGGCTCGTGCTTAGTAAGTTATCTCCCAACACAAGATATTCATCTCTCATAGTCCCCTCCCTTCCTTCTATCAAGATATCACACAGCCACACTTTGTCTTCACAGAGTCTGGTGGGCCAAAACTCTTTGAGCTTTTCTTCTTTTTCCTGTGTCTTCTGGGGATTTCACTGCAGCCACTACTTGGCCATTTGTTTTGAATGTCAAGTTCAGTTCCGCAGGTGTGTTCTGATGACCTGGAAGCACAAGACAACACACTACGGGGATGCCTGCATGTGGAAAATTTACGTATGCACTCTTTGATGTAGTTTTCATAGCGTAGATCTAGTTCTTTGGCTGCAGATATTTGTTCCAGGCGAGCTGGGATCTCAACAGCCCTAGCACAGTCTCGAGAGCAGGCCCAGTGCTGAAAAGGAACACAGGTGTTCCCTAAGTATGGATTCTTGAAAGTTATCACCTTGAAACCTATTGAAGAAAATTGGGTATTAACAGCAGTGATATAAAACATTTATAATTAATTTTTTATAACTTTGATTGCTCTAAAGAAATTAAGTCTTCTTTTAACCCTGTGAACTCAAGTTACTGCTTTTTCTGTCTAGTCTTAAATCTACATGCACCAACAGACTGATAAATTGGACTAAGACACCTTTCCTAAGATTGACAGTCCCTACATAATAATGCGATGATTAAAAAGTACTGTTTTACTCATTGGTAAGTTCTTATCATTGCTGTGTGCACAAACATTTGTTCTGTTTATCATTTGCAATTAATGATGAAAAGACTATCTCAATTTCCAACAATCAGCATTCTCCTTCTGTCCATACCTGTCTATGTCTGAAAGATGGGTCTACCTATTGGGAGGACCCACATACTAAGTAGAAATATTGGCAATAATTCATGTACAAATGGTCATTAAAATAATAAAATTAACTTTGTTGTTATATTCGTAGTCTTCATTTGTTTAAAGAGTCTGCAGTGTGTACATTAAGCTCTGGAGCCCAAATGGTAATGGAGATTTTATGATCAGGAGCTAAGGGTTCAACGGTTAAGTTCTTCTGAATTAATAGTAAACATCGTTTCTTGAACGGTGTATTTAAAACACATTTATCTTAAAATGGCTGTCCTATAAGTTATAGGCTCAGTTTCTACTATAAAAAATATTCTTGCTGTTTCAAGCTGAAAAATCAAAATGCTCACCATTAGTATTAGATAGACATGCTTTGTCACAGTGATGACAGATATTGAAGAGCCGATAAATATCTGCTATATAATCTTTCAACACTGGAACAATGTTTGGGTCTTCAAAGAAATTTCTTTTTGAACCAATTAAAGCTTTAGCTGCCCAGAACTGAAGACTTTCATGCTTTCCATAGGCCTAAAAATTAAATCATAATATATTTTGTTACTTACAAGCACATCTCTAAAAGGTTAAGTTCACAGTTTTGTCAAAACTAGGTTACAACATTAAAGACAAGCTTTTTTGAATCACAAGAAAAGGTAATTGAAAATATTTTAAAATGTGTTCTCAAGAAATCTGTTGCATTTCTTACAATGAGAATCGGTTAAGAAATCTAAATAATACTCATTCATTGTCAACAAGGAACATCCTGTATAGCAAAACAGTCCTTTAGACCAGGGTCTCCAAACTACGGCCCGAAATGTCCTCTCATCCGGCCCGCGGAGATCTTTTTGTCCAAGGAAAAAACGTTTGTTGGTGATGGCCGAGGAACTTTGCCCAAAAAATTAAAGACATTCCTGGAAGAAACTGGTCCCCGAACTGAAATTTGATAGTTAATGTGGCCCTCGGACTGAAAAGTTTGGAGACCCCTGCTTTAGACCATACTTATTTGCCTATACAAAATAAAATGTTTACAAGATTTCAATACTTAAAACTTAAGCTAAACAAAAAATATCTTATAAGTAAAATGTGACAAATGTGACACCTGGGAAAACTGAACTAATGCAAACATGCTCTTAAATATTTTGTAAAAACTAAACAGGATAAAAGTGCTCACCTGTGTTTCACAAGTAACTGGAATAATACGAAGATTAACATCTGTGTGGTACCACATGAAGGTGGACTTAAAGTAATTATGGTTTCCATGGCGATGAACAGTTTCAAGTGCTGGCAGATAAGGTAAAAACCCAGGCAAAGCATCCAGCAAATTATTATCTTTTCAAAAGAAAGATATTCAGTAAATAGGTTGCAATTTTAAAACAATAAATATAAATAAAACAGTATTGTTTTGTAAAACTTCAGTTGATCAAAAATGACATGTAAATATTTGTAAACTAGAGATCTAGTTCAAATGTATTTAAAATTTATGAAAGATTTATTTTTAAATATAACAAAAACACTTACCCAAATACAAAGTGTGTAGATGTGTTAAAAATGTGAGTGAATATGGTAGGGACCACACAGAAAGTTTATTATTAGTTAGTGCTAGGTATTCCAGGTTTGACATTCGTCCAATATCACAAGGTAAATACTCCAAACTGTTGTACTTAAGGCTTAAATATTTCACATTTGGGCATCTGAATATCTAATAAAGAAAAAAACAACAGTTTTTGGCTTTAAAAATTAGTATTATTTGATAATTTAATGAGAAAGGAGAATTTTAATGGCATAAAAAGCAAGTGCGTCAAAAATTTTGTTTTTATATCTACTTTTTAGAAAATGCTTTTAAAATCTTATGGATCATGTTACTTTTAAAGTACAATAACTTCAGGATCCCTGAGAAAGTACGCTTTACAGTTTAGTTTCCCCTCATCAAAACACAGAGAAAACAAAACCATGTTGAACTTTAAGAATATTATTATGTAACTGTATATATTGATAGTAAATAGCCTACTTTATAAATTCATAAGAATAGAAAGAGACATTACTTCTCTAGGTAATCGATTGTCATCACCAAATTTAAACATGCTGTCAAGACTTAGAACTGTGAAGTTGTGTAGGTTTAAGTACCGCATCATTAGGGTTTCTGAAATATAACAGTAAGTTCCAATTTCCCAGCATTTAAATAAAATTTACTATTAAAATCTTGTGGTATTCCTCAACAAAAAGCCATGTTCTTTAGAGTCCATACAGCTCTGATAGGCAGATGACTCTAGTCTTTAAAAGCTCAAATTAGAAAAAAATAAAAGCGCCTAGAAATAATGCTTATCACACTAATTATTCAGGCCCTGTGGTGAAAGAAACATTACTACTTTTATGCAAAATAAAATAAATGTCTTCTTTACCTCCATATTTTGGAAACTTTTTGCACTTTTCTCTCTCAATTTCTTCCTTCACAAATTCTAACAAATGTCGAGGGCGTCTATGAATCATAACAGAGAGGAACCACAAATCTTGATGAATATCCTTAAAATAATATTGAGAAACAATTTTATTAGGCTGCAAACACTTAGTTTCAAGAAAGATATTAATAATACTAAAATGAGAAAGAAGTATTTAAATAATGTATCTAAAACTATTTATATTTTAATAACTAAAAGCTTTAGGCAACTGTTTCAGTTACTCAACTAAATGATTATGAATTACTTTTGAATTGCACTATAAACAAGCTGATAATTGAGAAGCTATATACACTTTGCTTATTCAAATGTATTTTTTAAATTAAAATACCCCTTAATTTAGTCACTTAAGGTAAGTAAATAGCTTACACCAAACCCTAGCTCTTCTAATGACTCTAAAGTCATTAATGTTGAATCATCATTAGTGCAAGCTGCCTCTAGATCTTCCGCTGCCCCAGGGTCTGCTCTTTTCCGCAGACGTTCACGCCACTCATACCACAGAGTTGGCTGTTGCTGAAACCTTCGAAAGAGTAGAAGTTCAAATCCAAGAAGCCGCTCATCCAATTTTTCCATCTTATCACTTGACTGATAATGTGGAGTCAGTCCCATTTTGAAAATTTCAAATCTATTCACACTAGAGTTGGAATGCCCTAGGTCTCCCATATTTACACTGACTGTGTACAGACCTAACCTAGTTATTTGGTTTACTGTAGATAAAATTGTAAAAATGCATTAATTTCAAACGTTATTTAAAAGATATTTTAATAAAATCAAATTCCCCCTAAATCTTAAGTAAAAATATGACAGTACTATTAGGTTGAATATTACAATTTGGCTGCTTCTATTCATACCTGGGTCCATATAGTCATGGACCACTATCCGTATCCAGCATTAAGTTTGGTACAATTTACAAAACTAGGGGGATTGTTTGAAGTTTATAAAGAAAAAGAGCATTGAGATTAACTCTGTAAAGTTGTTCTAACTGGCATGGAGGTTATATCCTACCTAAATCAACTAAATCAAAATTGAAACTTCACTTCACCCTATACTATGCCTACATTACTGTGACATATACATATTAGAAGACTAAGTCTGATTACAACACAGCACCCTTCCAATACAAGATTGGGTAAATATTTCAAGATGTTCCTACAGTGTTTTGTAGCGTAAGCTGGCAACCAGTCAAATGCATGCTTTCTCTGCATTTTGGTTAGTGGCTGACTTCATGTGACGCATAAACACTGCATTATGGGAGTTAAATAGGTCCAAAAAAAGCCTTTTTTTTAACACGTAGTTCAGATTTTTTAACATTTTAAAATATGCCCAAAAATTGTAGTTTAATTCAGGAGTACAAAAACTCAAACATGTTAATATGCTACAACTCCAAGTAGCTCTAATAGACCTACTGAAGAGGGTATTTGTATATTTTATATCATACTATTCTGGAAGTTTGTAATCTCATTTTGTAATTAATTAATTAGCTAATTAATTAGGTCTATTACTAGTAATAATGAAGGGAGATTTATTTTTCTTACAGCAAAACACACAACACTATGAGTGATTGGTATGTGGCCTGACCTATTTACATGAGATAGTTTATATATATTATCCCATTGTTTTGAGTTTATATTTAACTCAATGCAACAAGGCTTGGTTGAAGGCAGGCCAGGATCAGGAAGACATTCTGCCAAGGATGCAAGGGGCCAACTGGAAATATCAACCAAGATTGTATGGTTCAAGTTACTGGCTTAGTCTCAGTACTAACTTTTGTACTTAGCCTTAGCACCTAGAATCTAGGTCCTAGAATAGTCCTAGATCTAGAAACTAGATATAGATCTAGCCATGCAAATGGTTTTTCAAAAAACCTCTTGTTATAATAAGACGCCTAATAAATAAACTGGGAGTGATCTCCCCTAAACTTTCTCGAATATTCTTATATAAAAAGACACGGGATGGGAACTCGGGATATAGACATGAATTTTAATCCATTTTAAATACTTAAACTTTTTAAAATAGAATAAAATCTTGTAGAAAAAAGAATTGCACACCAGTGAACGCCAAATAAAATGTGCATAATAGTGCGGAATATCATTAGTACTTTATAAATTTACATTAGTTTTTGAGAAATCGGAAACAGCGTAAATTAGTACTTCCGGTCAACGGAAATTACTCAAAATTTGACAGAAGGTATAGAATTAGATCTTTTACTTACATATGAAATTTCATTTATCTATCTGAAATAGTACTCAAGTTATAGGCTTTTGAAAAATTCAAGGTAAAAAAAGTACCACTTCCAGTTATCGGAAATCGCTCAAAAGTTGATACGGATCTACGATTTTGATAAAATACTTATATATGAAATTTCAGCAACCTAGCTGTAATGGTACTCAAGTTTTCGTGTTTAAAACGTCGAGATTTGCAAAAATCTCAATTTTTTTTTTTTTGCTCTATTACAAGACTTTCTCTATACTTTGTATATACGAGAAAGTAAAAATAGTAATGGGTAGTTGTCCAGTCAGTAGTAGAGAATACACAGATGACAATTTAATACAGATCTTCCCCTTTGCCTTTTAGGCCTAGGCCTATTTTATTATATTTTATTACAAGAGTACGGCAGTCTAAACATATATGGCAGGAAACAGATTGGTACCGCAAAATGCATATTCGGTCTTCGCCGTTCATAAACTTTCTAACCAGACATCGTTCGGGGATTTTGTTTATACTGATAAATAGAGCAAGGTTTTTACAAGCTTCGTTAGCAACATTTTTGTGGAATTCGTTTTTTATGACATTTTGTGCCGCGGCGAAAGATGCGAAGTATGCAAATCTAGACGGAATGGATCTACTTGGAAAGTACATGTACTGCACTAATGAGGTAAGAAATAATATTTTGTAAAAATAACTATTATTTTTTTATGGATTTTTCATTAGAAATGATTGCTGTAAATTATGAAAGTAAAAAAAAGTATATTTGAATGCGTTTTTTACTTTAATTTGAACAAAATGACTGCCGAAAATTACGACACATTGGCGTCGCTGAAAGCGGGAATTTCAGTTAATTTTTTACGGATATAAAATTGTATTTTTTTACTCCGAAGCATGTATTTAAATAACAGTTAAGTTAAATCTATTTAATTCTGTAAAATATAATTATTATTTTGCCGTAGATACTTTTTTTAATATTTTTAATGATTTTCTGTCGCGGAAAATCGGTATTCGCACCATGCACGCACACGTAATAAAACTAGACTTATCTTTAAAACACGAGAATCTTGAGTACACTGCGAATAACAAAGTTTTTAAATTTTAGTTTACTTTTGACTTTAAGCCATTTGTTTTAAATCGAAATTAATTGATAATGTAATTATTTCAAAGTAAAAATTTTCCGTCGCAAATTGGGTTCTAACCTTCGCCACTGAACCAGCCTACGCACGACATTCGCGCGAGTCTGTTTCTTCGCAATAGTCTGTATAGTGTCGAGGGCTAATTCTAAAAAGAATCGAGTCCTTACTAATCTAATGTTTATTAAAATTAGGTACAATTGTTGGAACGCATGAGAAATAACAAATTAATATTTCTTTAAATCTATAGCCAAAAGAAAGTAGAACTTTATAACTCTGTAAATTATGAATCGAGGGACGGCTGTCGTGAAAACGGGAGCCATTTTACTCTTTTTTTAGGGTGACCTACTTTTATTATATAAGTTTAAAATTTATGAATTTGATAAGCGGCTGAGTAGCTGACTACGCATGCGATATGGCTGGCACGTTTTGGGATAGGGATCGAGTACACCTTAGAATTTTTTTTTTCTTAGAACTAAGCGTATTTTTTTTTAAATCAAAAGATACTTACATATCAGTTGTTGATTTCAATTTCATTATAGATCTAATCACTAACTTCAGTTTTTAAAAGTGATTTTGCTTCTAGAACTAGCGTATTTTCAAAATTACGTAGATTCTAAATCTAGATCTATTCACTTACTATTTGACAACCGTGTCAGTAAAATGAGGTCACCGCTTCCAGATTCTTAGGTTTTAATTATGTTTGTCATTTTGATCTATTATAAGTAGCATTAAAACAACTGCATCTATTATCAACATTGTTTTTATATGCCAGTTCTAATTATACATTCTGTTCATTACCAATTCTAATGAAATCGTATCAGGCCCTAACACCCTGTTCACCTACACTGACACTACACTTGAATGACGCCACAGACAGTCGTAACTTTAAATTAATGTTCAAAGTACTAAACAATTAATTCAATTATAATTAGCCATGTAAATGCTGCAACTATATTAAAAATTGGCATATAGACATATTTTATTAATTATGTTTTTTATATAGACCTTCTATATTTAACTCTGTTATTTTTTTCTTCCCCAGAGTGTTTCTAAAAGCCAGAATTTTAAAGGGGAGGGCGGTCGTTTTTTTTCTCAAGAATAATTATAGAAATAAGCTATAAACTGGTATATTTTGTAAAGTTTGACATAATTACAAATAAATGTATGCCTAAGTGACATTTCTGTGTAATTATATCGTTAATTTTGTGAATTTCGTGGATTTTTGGACCTCACTACATTTAGATGTAAAAAAAAATCTCAGTTGAGTGAGTGTGGTTAATCTACATTTTGAACGTGATGTAAATGTCTAGTGCTATTAATTTTTATATTTTTGAATTCCTCGATTGTTAAGCAACAAAATTGATATATAATATGTCAATATTTGTTACTTTGAAAATTGGCGAAAATCGACCCCAAAAGTAGATGCTTGAGGGTTGAATCTGTTTCCTGCCATATTAGGCAGAAAATTAGATGTTTTACTTATATGTGAAATTTTGTTTATCTGTCTCAAACAGTAATCAAATTATAGGCTTTTGAAAAAGTAAAACTAGAATAAGTGCCACTTCCTTTTTATCGGAAATCGCTGAAAAGTTGATACAGAACTACAAATTTGATATAATAGGCCTAAGCCTATATGAAATTTCATCTAGATCTATCTAGCTGTAATCCCATGTAATGGTACTCAAGTTATCGTGTTTACAGATATACACACACACAGACATATGGACAGAGTTGCAAAACCCAGTTTTTCCGACTCGCATAAAATGCCGAAACTTTGCTAAATCTGGGCGATTAAAGATGTCCCATACTGGCTGCTCTGTATGTGATGAAGTACTGAGATGTAAAACGGTGAAAACTGTCAAAATTTAATGTTATTTTGTGCACGATTACAATACTAACAATACTTCCTCTATACTCTCACTCTCAGCTGTTTACAAGAAAGTAAAAATATCAATTCTTTGGACACCAGCGAGTTGACGAGATTCCTTCCATAATGTTATTGACATGGAATAAAAACATGCTTTTTAGATTTAGACCGTAAAAATAAATAAAAAATAAAAACTTAAGCCTAAAATTAATTTAGAAATTTTATATTTTTAGAATAAATGCTATAAAAGTTGCAAATCCAGAGAACTTGAAAATAATTTGAGTTTAAGGCTACATTTCTATTTATTTTCATCAAGCCTAAGTTAAAACCGGATGTTTCACTTTCATAAGACAAATATTGGTTGGCTGTACAGTAACTTAGTGATCGATAACTATTTATTAGTATTTGTTTACAAAACTTTGCAGATCAAGTTTTTAAATAACAATGCAAATTTAAAAACCATGACCTAGTTTTTCTATTTTTAGCTTACAATGTGTACAATAAAATTTATGGCGGCCTATCGAGTAGCAGGATGCCATTGTTTATGTCACCATTACACGTGAAAACCAAATTGTTTTTGCTTTTTTTTTAATTTTTATTTAGTTAGGCCTACCGAAAATATTTAAAAAAAACATCAGATACATCCAATCTTTAGGAAAGTCTGAAAAAAACCAGACAGGCAGGATTTTATAACCATATCAATTATATTAAACTACGCCGTGCAGGATTTTTAAATTAATTTATGGACCTCTCAAATACCTTTGAGACTTTTCTCGCTGGTGTCCAATGGCCAATGGTGGTGATCACAGTCACAGCAGTACACTCACACACTGACACACAAATCATTTTTTTCAACGCTAAAAAACACAATTATCAATAGACTACGTCACTAGACTGTCAATCATACAATTTAGTAACAATTACCTTGATCTTGTATTTAAGTCATATTTATGAAAAAGGTTTGTTTTAATAACTGTCTAAATCAGGATCTAAATCTAGATTATCTTATCCTGCTATGTTGTTGATTGATAGAAGTGACGACGGATGTGAGAAAGAAAACAATGCAATTAAACAATTTATGTGTCGATAAATCACATTTACAGACTGTGAATAGACATAGATTGGATTATAATTATATTTCGACATTTGGCCTAGATCTAGATCTACTTAAATAATTGAAATAATTGTAAAATTAAGCCTTTTGTTCAATAAATTTCAGTTTCTATCGGTATTTTTAATTTGATTATCTACCTTCATACCTGATATATTATCACTATCATTACGCAATTGGGGTCATCCATAAATGACGTCACACTCGTAGGGGGGAGGGGGGTCCGTAATTTTGTGACGATTAGTGAGGAGAAGGAGGGGGGGGGGGGTGTTCAGATGTTGCGACGTCACATTTTTGCATTATAAAAAAGCAATATTAGAAAAGAATTTTAGACGTTATTTCGCGTTTTAGATAACTGTTTTAATAAATTGTAATAGTTTAGACTAGATTTTGGAAAAATATCGATGTTTTAAAAAAATTCAACTGCAATTTTGAGGGGGATTGTAGGTTGAGGTGTGACGTCATTTTAGGGGGGGGGGTCTGGCTTTTTGTGACGACGTGTGACGGAGGGGAGGGGGGAGGTAAAAATCGTCCAAAAAAGCGTGACGTCATTTATGGATGACCCCATTCTCATTGACATTACTATCATTACTTAAAGCAGGGGTCTTCAAACTTACCCGGAAGTTTTTTTTTTTAATGTTGGAGGCGGCTGGGGAACTTTGCCCAGAAAATTCAAAACAATTTGAAAATGTAGTTTTGGGTGCAAAGACGTGTTGCAGACACGGGTGAAAACATTGTGACTCAGATAGCGAAAACTTGCTTGGATTTTTCGTTATTTGATTTCGTCACAATGTTTTAAAAAAATGCAAGCAAGTTTTCGCTATCTGCGTCACATAAAAAATAATTAAGATACACACACACACACACAAAAAACAGTAGGACATGTATTTAGGCCTATAGTTTAAAAATTGTGGTTAACTTGCAACTGTGGCTTTTTATTTAATGCCAATCAAATACGTATGAACCGAGGTGGTACTCACTCTTTGCATTTTTTTTTAAAGTCGATTATTTTTAACTGTATTTCATATTTGGATGGTTTGATGAGGCAAAATTTTTGGTTCCTTAGACAACGCTCAGATAATTACAAAAACGGTAGTTTTAAGAATGAATGGTATTGTAAAATTATAATTTCATTTTAAAGCAGAGCTTTGTATGGATGTTACCAACGACTTAGTTTAAGTTTACATTATGGGCCTCGTTTTTTTACCGACCGAAGACCTTGCGTCGAAACATATTTTTGTGCTATTTTAACAACAAACGCGTAAATAAAATACTTCCGGCCAATGGCGGAAAAATACAATCCAGTGATTTTGTTGATGATCAGTAGTGAGTTTGTAACATAAACAGTTGACACGGCAGGCAACTGCACAATACAAATAACAAACGTTACTTATTTTGTAATATTAAAAATATTATTGATTTCATTCATATTGATTCTCTCGAGAAGCTTAATGGACATGACATTGTTGCAAATGCAGTAAATAAACCATGCCAAAGAATGTGAAACTTCTTCAGAAAAGGCTGAATGAGGTGTTGAGTGACACTGTTGACAACTGCCCTAATGTCAATGAACTCACAGACTACACTACTACAAACCATTTACATTTTGATAATCCTAAAGAAAGTGGTAAAGATCACAAACAAAATAAATTTGAGTTACATGAGGATAAAGAAAAAAAGACACATAGGAGAGCGCTCAGTAATACTAAAACTAGAACAAGAAGAAATCAGGTTTCTTCACCCCTAAATCTAGATAAAGGTATGTAGCCTTAAGCTTCATAAAATTAACCTTATGGGTAATTAATTATATAGAGCAGGGGTCTCCAAACTTTTCAGCCCGAGGGCCGTATTGACTATCAAAGTTCAGTTCAGGGGCCAGTTTCTTCCAGGCATGTCTTTGATTTTTCTGGGCAAAGTTCCTCAGCTATCACCCACAAACGTTTTTTCCGTAGACAAAAAGATCTCCGCGGGCCGGATGAGAGGACCTCGCGGGCCCCATCCGGCCCGCGTGCCGTAGTTTGGAGACCCCTGATATAGAGGATAGGATCCTATACTATATAATAATATAATGATCTTACTTATAGGCCTAAATTATTATAAGTAGGCCTAATGATAGTGAAAGGCCAAAATATTTTTGGGGAGAATGTTTATACCGGTGTCCGATAATGGAATCTTATTTAAAAAAGGGGTGTTAACTAAATTTTTAGTTAACTAAATACACACATGGCTGGCTATTGTCAATGCTAACCCTGTCACTAACCCCAACCCTGGTCCTACCATAGTACCATACGCCTAACCCTAATTTCTAACCATAAATTTAGTTGAGATTACAATATTACTAACACTCCTTTTTTAAAGAAGAATCCATTATCGGACACCAGCATCTATAATCATCCGATAGCAGCTATATTTGCTTAAGGATAATAAAACACAAAAAACAAAGGCTGAAACTGATAAAGAGACTAAAGTAATTCATTTTTAAAACACTAGCTCATTTTTTGGATTCAGAGAAATTGTAAAAACGTTTCACTGAACAAATTGGGGATGGGGTTAGATTGCTGTTGAATTTGAGCTGGCTGGTCAATTCTTAAAGAGATAAAAATGTACAAAAAGTTGTTTTTCTGAATTTTTGACTAAAATCTGGCAATTTTTCTCGCATTGAAATGTAAATAATTTATGGCCAAAGCTATTCCCAGTCGGTTGGTAATAGCCATATTGGGGCTGTTCCCGGCCGACTGTGAATAGCCCCAATATGGCTATTCCCAGTTGGCTGTCATCTCATACTAAATATGACTGGGAATAATTTCTTACAATAATAAAAGCATCTATTGTGACTGGGGAGTGAGGTATAGATTAAGAGAGCAGTGCTATTTTTTATTGTGTTATATTTTCATTTAAAAAAATATTATGGCTTAAGTTTAGCTTTTAGGCACATATATGCTACGTCAGTTGTAGATGAACTGATCAATTATTGTTATCCACCTAATTAATTCTAAAATAGTCTAATAAATAGATCTAGTAATTTCTAAATAAATAATATTAATTATGCATCAGTTTAGTTAGTAGTTCACATTGTTATTCAACTGTAAATGACCATTTAAAATTTGCATAGAACAAATTTAGGTGAAATAGGATGTCCTTTTTAATTATCTAAAATTCACAGTTTCCATCACACTTTTCCTAAGTTGTTTTTTCTCTTATATAAAATCTAAAGGGATGGGGTTTTTTTTTGGCAGATATGCCATTAATCATGTCACAAGCGAATAAAAAGTTAACAAATGTAAACCTTTCATGAACAACGGGAAAAAATAAAGTTTTGATAATGGGGGGTGGGGACATAAATTAGCATCACAAGCATCTGAAAGGCTTGAACCCGCACCTTCCGGCACAGCAGCCACCCACATTTCCTCTCAACCACACAACTATATGTTAAATTTGGTGTTTTTAACATTAAAGCTATCAAAAACAGTCACAATTGTGAATAGCCCTGATACGACTATTCCCAGTCGACTGGGAACTGGGAATAGTCACTTCGATAATTTATTTAGGCCTATTCAAATAATAACAAGATTTGGTTCAATGAGCAGCCTTTTTATTCATGCGCATAAAGACCCTTTAAAACAATCACAACCGGAGCTTGAGATTATGGGGGTCAAATGTCACTTTTTTTGTTTGTCAGACAGGCCTTTTTGGTTCTATTAATAGCCTAACACCCTCTCTTCATATGCGGAGATTAGAAAGAAGAACTATAATTTATCTCCCCAATGGATAGCTAAATCTAAGGAAGAAACTTTACTTCTTAATACCCCAGAAATCTTTTACTTTTGCATCCTATGCTCAAAATAAGAACAAATTAATACAAACTATAGCAAATTGAAGAGCAGCTTCTAGTTTTTTGGTTTTTAAAAGGCTCATTTTTTTTAAATTTTATCTACCTTTGGATAACAGTGAAGCATCTACTTTCTATGTCAAGGATTAAATAATACTATTTAGCTACATTAAGCTGAAGAAGTTAACACAAATAACCCGCCTAAATAATAACCCTGAAAACCTTTATGGGTTTGTGTTGTGACTTAGCAATAATAGAACTGCTACTTTTTTTTTCTTTAAATCACTTTGGTATTTTTATTTTAGTATAATTGGTTTTACTATTCAATTTAGGTTCCAGCCCACTTCTAAAGCTGAGTCAAGAACCTGTTTTTTATCAGTCTCAAGAAGACCCATCTTGTTTTGTAAGATGGGATTTTGGTTCACCTGAAACTGTTAAACAAGTCAAAAAATGTAAGATTTTAAAATTAAGTTAATTTACTTAGGCCTAAGCATTATAGTGTGAGTTAGTCTATTGTTTACATGATATTTAAATACATTTGTACATTTGTCTATGTGTTGTGGTTTTTCTAGAGATAATTTAAGAGTGTGTCTCCTGAACTCTAATCTTCTTGTGTGACTATTTTTTAATTAACTGCTTTAGCTGTCAGACAAATGATGTTGTGTTGAAATATATATATCTTAAAAAACAACTTTTTATCAACACAGGGCGTGGCCAGTACAACGCTGATGGTGTTAAAAAAACAGTTTCTTATTTCAATGATGCTGTAAGTGTTTAAAAAGTTTCATTTTTAAAGGTTTAGACATTCTTTATCTTTTATCTATAAAATTAAAAGGAAACATTGATGAACTTCAACAGTAATTGTATTAGATAAAAAAAATTTTATGTTTATAAACTTATATTTACCAAAGCTGCAATTTCAAATATTTTAACTTGTTTTCTTAGCACATCAAACCCCAGAAAACTTCTTCAAGTCCAACCGGTTTTATTCTTCACCCACAAGATTTAATTGCCCTAGCTAATAAAAGTAAATTACAAAAGGCAAAAGATAGGTAAGTGGTTAGTTTCCATATGATGCTCTACAAAAATGGTGAATAATTAAATACAGTCATAATTATTTTTGTCAAATCATTTTCCTTATGAATGTAGAGTGCTTAAAAGAAAACAACACAATGTTCAAGAGATGGTTGTGAGCTTTCTTCAGGATTTGACTAAAGTACAACAAACAGGTAGTTTTATGCTTAGATTTTCTTTAGACTTGCAGGATTTAAATGTATTTTTTTTTAGATAAACAGATATTTTTTAATAATCTTTATATGTTTCAATTCTATTTTTTTAGGTGATGAATATACATGTGCAAGGTAAATAATTATTTTTACTCATTCACCTAGTCTGTAATTATGAATGTATAAATGTTTTCTGCAAATGTTATTTATTATTCTGTTATTTATTGGCAGGTTCTTTGTTAAATATTAATTAGAAATCAGTAACTATATGAAACTTTTCATTAATTCTTTTTTTTTAGTTCATCTACTGTTGATGACTTGACTACTAATGACAGTGATCACCAGACTCAAATCACAGCAGCTGACTTAAAGCCAGTTGATGAGGAGAACTGTTGGTCTGATGATGATCTGTTTCAGGATAATTCTCTCCTAATTGAGGCTACACAAAATGCTGAAAAATGTCTAAACAAAGCTAATGAATATGCTTTTGAAAACAAGAAAAACAATAACAAAAGTATTTCTGAGGTAAAAATAAATATTCTGAGGGATAGAAGTGACCTTGGAAGTTCAGATGTGTCTCCTAAGGTAACCAGTCCATCTTACATTCCCTCATCTTGCTCCTCAACACTTGCATCTACTTCTATTAGAAAGCCAACTGTGATGACAAAATTGAACCCAGTGTCTGTGACAAAGCAGTCAAACTTGGCTAGCAAGGGCCAAGCAACAATGACTTATAGTAAAGCAAACATAAAAAATGTGTTGAACTGCAGCAATATTAATCCTACACCTAGCAATAATCCATGCAAAGCAACTTTGTCCAAAGCCAGTACAGAATACAGTGCTAAATGTGCTGCAAGTGTCAATCAGTATGTCATCCAGAACAGTCAGTCCTCTCGTATAGACAATCCTCCCCCAGGTTCAAGAATCAAATCTCAATTCAGAAAGTTCAGCAGTTTTCAGAGAGATTATGTGTCACCCACACAGAAGAACACAGACCTGGCTGTGAAACCAGGACTGAACACATCGCTTAGAAAGGCCAGCAGCTTTGACTTGTCTTATTCCAAATCTTCACAGACATCTGTTTCATCTCAAACATCTCACTCTTTTAAAAAAGTGAACTCATCAAGTACTCCTTTATCAACTGACCAGATAAAACCCACATCAATTAATGCCGATTCCCTAGCATTCTCTGGTGGATTTAAGACAACCTCTTCTAATACTGCTGTCACTACTTTAAATAAACAGACTGGTCACCTTTCACTATATAAAGATAAACTGTGTCAAGCTAAACAGAAACATTCTTCAAACCATGTTTCTGATGATGGCTTTGACATAAGTCTTCCAGAGGATGTACTTCAACAGTTGTTGGAACCTGATGAGATATTAGACAGTCAGATTATTCCATCTACTGGGACAAATTCCCTTTCAAAGAACTCATATAATGTAAAAACTGTAACTTGTGTAATGAATAAGAAGACAACAGTGCCCTACGTAAAGGAAGCTTGTGAAAAGAATGCTGTAGATATCAAAATGCTGAAGCCACCATGTATAGAAAGTTTGTCAGAAACTCTTTTGTCACCAGTAAAAAATGTTCACCTAAACAAAGCCAGGACATCACCAATTCAAACATTTTTCAAGAAGACTTTTTCCACCAAAACCTCCACACTGTCTCTAAAATCAGAAAACTCCATGGCAATGGTTAGCAGCAGTACACCTGTGAAAATAAAAAACTCTTTGGCCACAAACCATCAAGGACAGGAAGGAGCATCAGGTTGGCATCATTTTAAGTTTCACTTAATTTCTGTTAACATATGTTGAAATTCTGTAAAGTTTTCTGACTGATGAAACTGGTCTAGTTATAGTTCACATCAGTATCTTCATGAGCTCTAAGTTTTCTTTTTTAATTATCTATTTATTATAAAATAATCATTTTGAAACATTTTTTTTTAAATTTCCTCGTAGATTCTTTTATGGAAAATGCATTTGATGACAGTTTTATGGATGAAGCTTTGTATGAGTCACAGATTCTACCCATGTTGATACATGCTGAATGTAAGTTCAACTACATGAGGTCCATATTTTTAAAAATTACACGATTGCTAATCCAAAAGACTTGATGCCCCAGCAGATGAGCCTTGATAGCTGTGGACAGCAACTCTTATCTAAGGAGAGAAAACTCCAAAACAAAAAAGAACCTCTGCCTTGAGTGGACAAAGGCTATGGATGCAAATCCAGAAGAAAAGTGTCAATGAGTTATATGGCGTGTAACATGTTGATGTGTATACTTGTGTTGGATGGAAGTCTCACCATTGTTAAAATTAAAGAACAAAGACACCAAGCTAATACTAAGCTTAAGCATAAAGTTCCCATTTTGAATCTAGCTGTCCATGGGGCAAGTGTAGTAGAGTTCACCTGTTTCTGTGACCCTGCATTTAAAGGGATGATGTGGTCAGCACTATGCCTAGCTGCCTTTACTTTTCCTAATGTGAGTTAGATAGCCATCAGAGCTGGGTGGACTCAGGGACATTCTGACTTGAACCTGCATTTGACTTCTAGCTTTTCGGGTTAGCAGTCTACCACTAGGCCATCCCATCAGCTTTAAAAAAAGTAAAGATCCCTTTTCAAATATGAAGGTCTATAGGGGCAAGTGAAGTACACTTGTTTCTGTGACCTCTGCATATGAAGAGATAGTGTGGTCAGCACTATGCCTAGCCGCCTTTACTTTCCTTAACAGAACGTGAGTTAGGTACCCATCAGAGTTGGGTGGACTCGGACGGTCTACTGACTTGAACCCGGATTCGAACTCGAGACTTGCGGGTTTGGGGTCCAGCTCTCTACCGCTAGACCACTCCGTCCCACATCCCATCAGCTTTAGCATAATTTTATTTGCATATGGTTTTCTTTAGACTATATTTCTTGTCTCCTCTGATGTTAGGCAAGTTTTTATTTCTTTTCATGACCATTACCCAATGAACACAGAAGCTTGATTATTAAACTTTTCTTCCCTAGCTGAAACATTGAAAGATACTCAGATGGAAGATGATAAAGTAACTTCATGCCCATCTAGCCCAATCAAGTGTTCACCTGAGGAGATTGAGCGTAAAAGACAGGCAGCTATACAGAAGAGAAGCAAGCACTCATAATTTAATTCTCCCAGTTTGGTTTCTGTGATAGATCATTATGTAAGCAATAAAAATTGTACACACGGTTGTTTAAACTTTAAAAAATAAACACTATCATAATTAACAGTTTATTTCAACAAAAAATGTACACATATACAAAGTGAAATATCAAGTATAACTGCTTGTGCACACCAGTGCATTGTTTTTTATAAAAACATTTAGATCACACCAATGCTGACACTGTTAAAAGGTACTTCTTGCACACAAATGTCTACTACTAAGCATTGACATAAAAATCTCATGGCAATAGTAAAAACCTATTGTGTAAATATGTTTTATAACAATCAGATGTTAGGTGTACGTACATTTGTACACCAGTAAGGATGACTGTTTTTAATGGCTAAGCAAGCTTTATACTTTGTGATTTTGTTTTTAAAAAGTCAGCTAAAGAGCTTAAATTTCAATTTTTTGTTTCATAATTGTTGTAATCAATTTTAAGTTATGTTGTTGTCATATTCTGCCATTCAGTATTTGTTTTTTTTATTAAGAAAAAAATAATGTATGAGCTAAAATGTGTTTGTTTTCACATTTAGCTACTTGAAAAATTAGATATCGATTATAATTTATAAATATTGTCCTATTTATTGGCTTAGGACGGGCAATGTCCTTAACCTGTCTAGATACTAGAGCGATGTTTTGCAAGATTTCATGACAAAACACCTGTTTACATTTGCTATAAATCCTTTAATACTGTACCAACAAAGCACATTGAAACTTCATTAATGAAATTAAAATGCTAAAAATTAGTTTTTATCTTGTCTGTAACAGTTTGGGTAATATTTCTGAGATTATGTGATGCACTATAATAGAAACTTGAATTCTTAACCTATTTACTCCATTTATACAATTTAATTTTTTTGAGCATATTTACTTGTATAGTCTCTATGCATCTTGATTTAGGGTGAAAATATTTTCAATCTATATGCAAATAAAGCAATTGATGAATAGATTATTGTATTTCTTTATTTTATATATCAAAATGTACTGAAAGGAACCAAACAGACGTGTTAAAATGTTTATAAAAATTTAATTGGTGCAAATTCACATTACACTTACTATGGACATATTCTAATTTATTAATTAGTTGGTACTAGAATATGATCATTCGAACAACAGAAATACATGAGATTGTTCTCATTTGCAAATGGAATGCAGTGAAATTGAACAAAAGTTAAAGAAAAAACTTTTAAAATTGCACAAACTGTTTAACCAATAGAGTTTTAAACATTTTTGTAGAAAATGAAATATTTTAAAAACACACAAGAGAATTTTATGGTTTCAAATGTGAACCTTACACCTGTTTCACATCTTTCAACAATAATCCTATTCTACGACGATCTAGGTCAATGCTTTCTACTTGAACTTCAACATGATCACCAACCCCTACTTTGCCACAACGCCCCATTTTGCTACAGTGGATAAGTCCATTTATACCAACTCCAATGTCAACAAAAGCACCAAAATGTGTGACATTTGTTACTCGACCAGTCAGCTCTGAACCTGAGCGCAAATCGGACACTGACTGGACTTCTTGTTTAAAAAGTGGTCTTTGGAAACCTGTTGAATAAAAATGAGTATTTTGATATGCCATATAATAGTTGCTGAAAAATAAGATATAGGTAGTTATCTCAATAGTTTAAAGTTGCAAATTACTTGATTTTAATACTTTTCTATCCCAAAGAATACAAGCAAAAAGCAACTATTTTTAATAAATAAAAAAATAATAACTAATAATAATATCTGGATGCTTGAAAACTTTAAAATATAATACAAGTTTTTTTGTAGGAAACATTCGTAAAACTATAGTCACAGGTTAACAAATATTTTGAAAACTTACTCTCTCGAAAATCATATGTGAGAGGCTGTTTTAAAGCATCTGCTATTTGCTTAATAGTGGCAAGGCCGACATTATTTTTTTCACAGAAAGATGACAAACCTAAAAAATAAAGAAACCAATTTTTTAAAATAATTATTTAATTGTTCATCCGTCATGGCTTTAATTATTGAAATTTTCCAATCCAACTGTACCTAATAATGCATTAAAAATTCACTATTCCATCTGAAAATTAAAACTTTGTATCAAATGTAAAAAAATGTGAAGTGTCCTTACTGCTTTCTGTGGCATCTCTTTTTACTTTATTCATGAAAGATTCTTTACCAATTTCCTCAAGGTTTACATTAAGAAAAGTTGCAAGCCTTGAAAAATAATAAAAAGAATTAAATAACTATCACTGTTTAGCTACTACTAGTACTAGGTAATTAATGAAGATTATATCATGTAGTAGATAAATTAACATTTATTAAGCTAAAAATCTACTTTAAATTTTATCTAGCTTTTTAAATAAATCAGTTACAAGTCATTTAATTTATTGCAAATGGGTTGTGACTTAAAGGTTAAAAAGCTGGTATAATTCTTTCATGCTATTGACCATAAATGAATAAATAGATAAATTTTAAATTTAGAAGATAAAACATACTAAGAATATGAGCTGCTTTGTTTAAAAAGAAATGTTTGCAGTATGCAATACATACATTTGGGCTATATTATATGATTCTGGGTGGATAGAGGTAGCATCTAGTGGATTCCATTCATCATTTTCAGCAGTTTTCCTTTTCTTACTTTTGCTACCAGTAGCAGAACTTTGTGTTTTCCTTTTCCTGCCTTTAACAGAATCAGATTCTTGCTCCTCTTTACAATCCCCTGTGTCAACACTGAAATCATGCACAACTATACAAAGGGGATATATTTGGTCATTACCACCTTCATACGAATTAAACTTGCAGATTTATTAAAAAATTGCTTTTAAAAAATAGTGTATAATTTGTAGATTGTTGAAGTTAAGCTTTAATTTGAAAGGGCCTACTGTTAAAGTATGTACATCAACAACACCTCAATGCTACCATTTCTAACCCATATCAAACACAAAATGATTTAACTGCATCTGCCTTGTCAACTGAGGAAGCTGCCTTGTTCCTTACAAAAAATTGATATGCAATAACACTAGTATCAAAGTCTCCTTTTTTTAAGGACAACAATTTGGATTTGGTTTAGAGATACATCAAGCAGTTGGACAGATGATAGTGTTACCCATCATTACAGTAGTGGCCAGTTCTCTGATTGCTGGACATGATTGGGTTATAGTGTTTGATCCAAACATTTAGTTCAAGATTTTAGCCCTATTTCTTACCTATTGATGGCAGTCTTATTTGGAGGGTTGACCCGCACAAAACCTGCACACTGTTCAAATCCTTTGGCTCCAAGACCTTTGATGCTCAACAGCTGTTGTCTGTTTGTGAACTGCCCATTTTTTGCTCGCCATTCAAGCAACTTTTTTGCTTTAGTTGCATTAAGGCCCGCTACTCTCCTGTAAAACAATTGTTTGAAGGCTTGATAAATGATAATTTAAATGGGGTAAAATATCTGACTGCTGACTTCTTGGGGTAAGATAAGACCAGTGGACACCTTGAAAATTCATCAAAGTGGTATCATCCTGTTTGAAAACAACCAACTACAAAACTCAACAAATTCTTCATATTACATGTGGAACAAAGAAAAAATACTTTTCAATGGATAGCATTACACCAGAGGACAGGTCCAGTAAAAGAAAACAAATCCAGTTTTATTTGTTTAAAATCTTCAGTCATAATGAAACTAGTAACTGATTTAAAAAAATTGATTAATTAAGTAAAACTATTCTAATACAAGCAAATAGGAAGTGACTAACTTGAGCAGACATTCACTGCATGTGTTCAAATCCACACCAACAAAGCTGACACATTCTTCAACCACAGAGCTTAAAGCATTTTGTAACTTGGTTTTGTTGATATCATGCTGTAATACAAGCCCTACTTAGATTATGCTCAGTGATAAGAAAAACCTGAAAATCTGACTTTCTATTACAGCATTGTGTACGAAAACAAAGTTAATCAACAATGGAAATTTTTCTGTTATGTTAAAAGTAACATAGTGCTAATAAAACAGTTTTATGTCCAGATTTTTTGCTTCATGTCCCAATAACTCTTATAACATCTAAAAGAAGTGGACTACAATTGACCACCACAGTGTAATCATTATCATATGTGTAATCACAAAACAGCCCTACTGACCCTACACTGCAGCAATGTAACATTACTGAACTATCTAACCTGGTACATGCCAACACCCAGATGTTTTGGTTCTATCTTCACCAACTCAGCTAAAGGGTCCTGTAGTCTTCTTGCTATTGATACTAAGAGGGAAAAAAATTGCACATTATCTACTTCAATCTAGTAGTTCTTATTTTTTTACTATACAGAATTTAGAGTTAAAATAAAACTATTTGTAAAAATCAACCAACCTGCTCCTCTTAAAGTTGGGTCTAGATCTGGAAATTCCTTTTTAGCTTCGTCAGAAATGCTGTAGATGGATGCTCCACACTCATCCACAATACTGGAAAACGGCAACTCATTTCATCAACAGTGTTTGTGTTTAAAATGGGTTCAATGCTTGTAAAACAAGTAACAATTCAAAAATCTTTGTATGAAAACATTACCAGTAAACTATAGAAAAAGGCTTGAGATTTTGTTGTTTAATAATAGAAGAGATAATTTGTTCTGTTTCTCTGCATCCAACACCATTGCCTATGGTGATGATCTCACACCTGTAACCATCATAAAGAAACAAAACCAGTTTAAGACGATTTATATCAAACTGAATCTTACTTTTCTTTTTAATGGTCACACTTCTTTCTATTATTTTATTAACTAATATTCAATAATTTAAATTTAAGCCTTAATAATTTAATGAAATGTTTATCAGAATGAGCAGTATTAATCGATTATAAATTATTTTATTATGTATATCAACAATAAATGGAAGTTTACTATATTGCTTAATCATTTACAAACACTTGAAATGTTTTAATATAAATTTAAAATTATTTCCATGCAAATGCACAGCTTGATTAGACCTAAAGTAAAAATTTAAAATAATTTACTTGAAACTCTGCACAATCTCAACTACCCTGTTGATCTCAGTTTGCTTGTTGGAGTTGAAGTCATGGAGATAGATAACATCTGTTTTCATGACTTGCCCAGTGGGGGATATCACAGCTACCTTACAACCATTCCTAAATCCTGGGTCAACACCTAAAATTGTCTTCCCTTTGATAGGTGGAGTTAGCAGCAACCGCTTTAAATTCGAAGTAAAGACAGAGATGGAGGCTTTTTCTGCATCTTTGGTTAGGTCAGATCTGAAATGTTTTACATTCTGTTTTACACTGCATTTCATAAGCAAAAAAAAAAAACTAAGCAAAAAAGTTAATGTAAGATAAAACTTTATCCATTAAGACTCAATACAGATATGATAGATTAAGTCTGATTCATATGTTTCTTTGACATTAGCAATATCAAGGCATTGTGCAGTCAGTTCTATGCCCAACTTACTTTACTTTCTCAGACTCAGAGCTAGAACTCAAGCATGAGAAACCCACAAGAGTGCTCCGCCACTTGACCATTCTATCACATACATTTTTCATGACTAAACCCTTTATGTCATCAAAGCCATATTCAACTTTTTTAACTAGTTTGTTTACCTAACCATAATCTACAACCAAATAGTTTCTAAGATAATACAGAAAAAAAGCTGCTTCAAAATAACAATTATCCTATTACCTTATTTGCCGACACAACATGGGTTCAATGAGCCTGTCATAAGCATCAAGTACAGCCTGTCTGATCATGGTGATATTTTCAGGATCGCTTATGTTCTTCAGGTATTTACCGACAGCAAAATTCATAAACTGTGCTTTGGCTCGATCTGGTATACTGATTTTAACAGAAAGAGCCTTAAGGTCTTCTCCTCTGTTAATAGCTAGAATCTGTCCAAAAATATTCTTAAGGTAAAACAAATGTTATCTTTTGTGCATATTTATTTACTAAATAGGCAAAAGATATTTTTAATCAAAATATTTTTTTCACTTCTCCAGAAAGAAATTCTGGCTAAATAAAAAGGTCTAAAAGTATGCAGTAGGTTTTTAATATGCATAAACTTAATATTAACAGAATAACTTAGCAGCTTTGTCATAATCTACAAACAAAATTGTTATTTTTAAAATAGCAACATTGACCTGGTGTGGTTTAGCTGATTTAACCCAACATTTGAAGTCTTGATACTGCTCAAACTTTTGGGCTGATTCCTCATTTTTGCCCTTCAGTTTTACCTTGGCCATTGTTTGTGTAGAATCTGTGGATGTTTTCTTGACTTTTGTAGCTTTGGGTTTAGATTTGGTTGTCTCAATCATCACCTGGCACTTATCACAGCTACAAAGTTTGGGTAAATATACTAGCCATATAGCAATTTACATGATTTAAAAAAGAGCATTTTAAAAATTATATGACAAAAGACATTTAAAAAAAATAATTACATATTCCTTGCTTCATCCACACATTCTTTGTCCTTTGAAACAATATCAGCAATGATGTGTTGTATCCCTTTTTCTATTTCACCAACCGATTCAAGTCCTTGATGTAAAAGTGTAAACAATCATAAAAGCAATATTGGAAAATAAATGTTCATAATACAAGGAAAAATTACAAGCAATACTTAAAATATTGGTGCATATTTAAATCTAGGGTCCCCTGATAAACCAAATGCAGGTTTAAGCAGAGAATACTTTGCACCATAGTACAAATCTAGGTTTTTATTTTTTATTGTTGATCTGTCTGAACCTGGGTACACTTATTTAAACAGAAATAAAGCAGTTGGGCAGCAGTACAAACCTTTCTCTTTTATATTTATGAGTGAGCCCAAATTCATTTTTCTGTTGTTTAAGACACTTCTTGCCACTGCTTCAAGTCCTAATGCTCTTGCTCTTTCTGCATAGGTTCCTTTATGACCAGGTTTAAATGGTGCATACTAAAATTACAGATACACATAAATAGTTAATTACTCTAAAAAACTTGAGACAAAGATGTACTCAATAATAATTTTTAAAAAATAGTATGATTATATCCATTGCCAAATTAGAATATAGGCCCTAATTACCTAATTAACAATGGTATGCTTTTTTAGTTACATAAATACAGTATTACACACATATTACTTACCAATGTTTCAACTTCTAGTATTGTTGTAGATAATTTTAGAGAAGTTTCTAATTCCCCTGTCATTTTTCCCATTTTCTCAATAGTAGCATAAACAGTCTGTATTTTAGATTCAACAGATCTATAAAGATAACATTAGTACATTAGGCATTTAAAATTCAATTGACTTTCAAATACAAATCTATCAACTAACACTATTTGAGATTTTTTCTGTACACAAATAACAATCCATTAAAAAAATATTCTTTACATCTAAGTGATCTATTGTAATTATGAGTAGGTCTATTTAGATATTATAAGCTTGGGGGAAAAAAGCTGCTAGGCAAAATAACTTGTTAAATACAAGTAGATAACGATATTAATTAAGGATTAAGAAATTTTGAGCTCATCTTACTTTAGTTCCTCTACATTTGTTGCAACTTCTCTCAGCAAATCAGGTCCCATGTCACCTGTTTGATCCTTGCGATAACGTGCAATGAAAGGTATTGTTGCACCGTCCTCCAGGAGACTGACAACATTGAAGACATGATTGGGACGCAGTTTCAGTTTATTAGCGATGACTTGGTGGGTCTCCCATGCCAGATTTACTCCACTTTCATTTAATTCCTCCATAATGTTTTACTACTAATAGTAACCTATTTAAAAAATGTAATTAATCAATTGTTTATTTAGGTAACTTGGTTTTCAGAATGTTATTACAATTTATTCTGTACCTAATTTTTAAAAGAATGTTTTTTAAAAGATCTGTCTGGTTTTAGACTACAAGTGTAGGCTACTATTTTGGCTTTTTTATTTTTGCTTTCTGTCAGTCACTACTTGACTGTCTGTACTGAGGAGTGTACAATGTAGGCCTACTCAGTAGTCTAAAACCAAGTAACATAAGTAGCTTGAGTAACTAATCTAGTTAGTTACCTCTCAGGCTCAGCATAGGAGTTCAGCAGAGTAAGTGATATAGAATTTATTATAGATCTAGAAACTAGATCTTTATAAGATCAGAACAATCTAGATATAGTTCTAGTTTTAGTATATCAAGTTATAGTTAATAAAATATCAATATGAATATCTATGATGAATGATGAGTAGGCCTATCTCAGTCGGGTATGGGGAAATTGCGAGACGCGAAAAGCGAAATGGCGAGGCGGGAAAACGCGAGAAGGGCGCGAAAACGGTCGGTCACGTGACTTTTTGTCTCGCATTTTACCACAACCCGATACTTACGCTGGGTGATGTTGAAATGCGAAGATTTCTGCGAAAAATTTACCGCACCCGATTTTCAGTGGTATTTGGTGCAGACTTCAAAGACGTTTCGTTTACATTGTTAAAACTTCCGATTTTTCCGTCGCTAGACATACAGATGATTTGTCAACTCCCCCCATCTTTTGTGTCGACTTAGAATACCACCTTGTTCGAAACCGACGGCAATACCGCCGATGATAGATCAACTTCTGTCTTTTGTGTGGAACGCCGAGGCCACTGATTTATCGTCTTTGAAGATCACCATGCCCGGATCCGCTGCCGCCGGAAACATATTTTCTATTGTTGCATAGAAATTTTGTATAAACATGAGTGGACTAGATTTTTAAAATTAATGCCGACTGAGACGGGATTTTCCTCTCGCTAACGAGAGCTGGCTATGACAGTAGCACAGCAACGATGTAAGGATTTTTAAATAGATAGATCTAGATATAGATCTATCTATCTTCTTAGTATCTATCTATCTATATAATAAAATCTAGATAAAAAATAACAACATACAACACTCGTATTAAAGGGTATGGCTAAATGCTTGTTTATTTTAAAACAAAAAAAAAATAATTTAAATAAAAATGAAAAAAGCATGACAATTTTTTTTTTTCGCAAAAAGTGTCTCGCTATTTTCCCTTAATTCCGCATTATCTTCTCGGATTTTCCCGCCTCGTCATTTCGCTTTTCGCGTCTCGCAATCTCCCAACACCCATCTCAGTCTCATGTCATTCAATGATTTATCGACTGCTCATCCACGATATTAGTTATTGAGTTATTAATCAAGAAAGTGTAGGCCTATTATTAGGGATTTTGGTAAAAAAACACTAATCATCATATAAAAATAAAAATTACATATTCTTGTAGAGCTCAACTATATAAAAACAAAACAAAAAAGATTTTCTGTCTAGCTCAAATAGTTTTTTTTGTGAGGGGTGGAATCCCCTTGTTTTTGCATTTGCCAATTGTGACAAGTCATGGTATACCTGAATAAATTGAGCATAGTTATTTTACTTGCAGTTGTATTTTGTTCATATTTGCAGAGTTTAGCTAGAATGATATATAGAACTTGTAAATGAATAAAAATAATACAGAACTTATATTTTTGTGTTGGCTTCCTCCTATAACCCCAAAAACTGTGCGCTGCGCAAATATGAAAATGTTTCTAAAAGCCATATTTTATATAAATACAGCAAATGAAAGAACTACAAAGTTAGAAATCTAAAGTAAATGACTTGAACACTGTTATGTGCATATAATATAATTGCCTCATTATTTTGGGCAGGTGAAGTAGAGTCCATCTTTAAGCCATTTTGTTATAAAACTGCTGCGCAAATATGAAAATGTTTCTAAAGCAATATTTTATATAAATACAGTGAATGAAAGAACTACATAGTCAGAAATCTAAAGTAAATGACTTGAACACTGTAATGTGTATATAACTGCCTTGTTATTTTGGGCAGGTGAAGTAGAGTCCATATAAGCCATTTTGTAATAAGTGAAATGAAGTTATCAGATTAATGTTTTTATGTGTGAATTGTGTATGGATTCTGATTTTCAGCATATAACTATATCTAAGGGTAAGTAGAACTTGAATACTTAAAATTACAGTTAGCACAAAGCTAGTGTATAGCAACAGACAGGTAACCTAGGTCTGACTCTTGTCAGTCTAGTCTGACAAAATTGGATTTTAGGAAAAACATATTCTGCAAAACTAGAACTAGAGCTGAAAAAAATTAAAGATGGGTATGTAAATATATTTTGAAAACAACAATTAGGAGATTTGTTTGCACATTCCATAAGAATGCTGTTGTTAGTTGATCAAACTTAAAGGCCGGAAGATCGGGATGAAAAAATATAACAATGGTGGCAACGCGACCTACTACATACAGTGACCACCTCTGGATGAGTATATCTAATATCATTTACACATACATAAGATATGTCTGCTCAGTAATCTTCTCTCATCTAGAATAACCTTTTTAAAAATCGTGATTCCAACGTATTTGAAACTAGCCTTCATACACGGGGGAAGACCAAAGCAGAGACAGTGTGCAATCAGATCGCTAAGCCATCAAAACAATGTGAAAACCATTCTACTTTTCATTTAACATTAGGATATGACCTTTTAAACTTAATCAATTACCATAAATTAAAAACGTATTAGTATGCAAAACCAAATCTCGTGCGCCCGGTATCAAAAAGTAATGGGAGATTTCAGGTCATGTTTTTACCGCGATCTCGGCAGATACCGACAAGCCTACTATTATAAATTTATATTAATTTATAAATATTATATAATCATAGGCCTAATAATCATAATAATGTAATAAAATGTTCATTGTTGTTAACTGCTTCTAAGTTATCTAGTTAGTTAGTTTTAAATTATTAATGATCTTAGAGTCTTAGTAACTTAATGTTTAATACTAATACTAACGACTAATACTACTACTTTACTTACTACTTACTTTATTGGTAACCTATCGTTTTAGGTACGTAAAATCGCCCGCGACTAGTAATGTGAAAAACAGGTGACTCCTACATTTTAATAATTATTTCACATTTTGGGGAGGATTTATGTTTTGAAAAATACAAAAATGTTTCCTTGTTTCATTTATGTACCTGTTTTTAAACAATTGAATTAAAACTTTTCAGTAATAAATGAACACCTGCGATGTTTCCAACAGATGCAACCATGCTCATTTACTTTAGCAGCCATCTTGTTCAAGTTTTATAGACTTATAGCGCAAGATTCAGGCGGAAGTCACTCTATTTTACAAATGGCTGCTGTTTATATAAATATATAGCAAATCTTGCTTGCAGACACTGCTGTTTAAAGTTAATTTCTGGCCTATATTGATATATTAATATTTAGCCATTGATTTAGGTTTATTATTCATTTATCTATAATATTTAACACAAACATATCACAATATACTTCTATTACAGCCTTGACAATGAGGTAACGTTTTCGTACATTAATAGCCGCTGGCGATTTTACGTACCCAAAACGATAGATTACCACTTTATTACTTACTTACTTAGATCTACTCTAGTATTACGTCTTACTCTACTAGATCTAGATCTTCTAGATCTAGACTACTTACTAGTACTTACTATTATTAATTAGTATAATTAGATCTACTGGTAATCTATCGTTTTGGGTACGTAAAATCGCCCGCGGCTATTTATGTACGAAAACGTTACCTCATTGTCAAGGCTTTAATAGAAGTATATTGTCATACTTTTGTGTCAAATATTATAGATAAATGAATAATAAACCTAAATCAATGGCTAAATATATCGATATAGGCCAGAAATTAACTTTAAACAGCAATGTCTGAGAGCAAGATTTGCTATATAAACAGCAGCCATTTGTAAAATAGAGTGACTTCCCCCTGAATCTGGCGCTAAAAGCTTATAAAAATAAAACTCAGACAAGATGGCTGCTATAGTAAATGAGCATGGTTGCATCTGTTGGAAACATCGCTAGTCTTCATTTATTACGGAAAAGTTTTAATTCAATTGTTTAAAAACAGGTACATAAATGAATCAAGGAAACATTTTTGAATTTTTTAAAACATAAATTCTCCTCAAAATGTGAAATAATTATTAAAATTTAAGGAGTCACCTGTTTTTCACATTACAAATCGCGGGCGATTTTACGTACCCAAAACGATAGATTACCGATCTACTTCATACTTACTTACTAAGTAATACTTACTTAACTTAGTAGTACTTAGTCTTAGTACTTTTAGAGTTTAGGTTTAGCTTAGACTGGCTTAGACTAGAGTTAAGTACTAAGTAGATCTAGATCTAGATATAATCTACTTAGTTACAATATTAGTAGTCTAGTCTAGATGGATGAAGCGAACAAGTTATCAAAATATCAAGATTAAGATCTAGACTAGAATCTAGATCTAGATCTAGATTCTAGATCTAGATCTAGTTTAGAATTAGATCTAGAATCTAGATCTAGCTCTAGTAGTAGTAGTTAGGTATAGCGTAAGGTAAGTTTAGCTCAGACTTGTTGCACTGCAAGAATAAAATAATGTTAAAGCTGTTCCAGTGTTTTGTGTTAGTGTTGTTTTGTTACAACACCCGCTTTTGATTTGTAACTGGACCAGAATTGCCAGATCCACATCATCAATAGAAAAATGTGCCAAATAGATCTATTCTATAATAATCTATATTGCAAGAAGGTTGGAAAATTTGCAGATCTATGTTTATAAGAGACTATTTTATAATCTTATGTATAACTTCTCCACTTGTTATTATAAAAATGGGTGAATGGTTATTCGAACCTTTAAAATGTAATAAAGCATTGAACATACAAAAAAAATATAGTTAAATATATTGCTACTTAAAATTTGTCAGTATGACATTTGGTTTTTAGACTTCCAGCATTGTTGTCTCCCTTGTAAAATACACTGTGTA